TTTTCATGATTTGGACTTAAATGTTTTTTGAGACAGTTACTACGTTTAGGAGATAAGTTAAAAAAATAAGAAACTTCTTTTACTTGGCCAAGAAGATTTTTTACTTTTGGAACTTGGCATGCAGCTGCTACTACTAAACTAAGTCTATGGCTTGCACAATGAACAAATATAGCTTTATGATTAAGGGCTTTTATTTGAGAAGCAACTCCTTTATACTCACCTGCCATACAACCTGCACTGTCATACCCTTGGCCTCTACAATTTTGAATATCAAGTCCAAACTCTTGAAGTGCATTAAGTACATTTAGAGATAGACTAAGACCAGATGTACCAGTCTTGCAATCAATAAATCTTAAGAAATCCTCGCAAATCTCATTATTTGAATTTACATATCTTAAAACAAGTGACATTTGTTCAGTATTTGAACAGTCAACTGCTTTATCACAAAGAATTGAAAAAAAAATTGAATGCTTGACATTTTTTATTAAAACTTCCTCAATTGCTTTCCCACAAGAATCAATAAGTTGGTTTTGGGTAGTTTTTGATATATAGGTTGCATTTTTTGGACTTAAAGAAAAATGATTAGCTAATACTTGATCACCAGCATCAACATGAAAATTTAAAAGCTCTATGAAGTTACCAACTCCAACTTTTTGTGTAGAAGATTCCCCAATGTCAGGATGATATTTGCTATCATCACGATGTCCACGAAATGCTAAATCGTTTCTACCATGAAATATTATTGTTTTAATTATTGGAACTAATTTTTTTCGGTTATCAGAAAGAAGTTTCAAACGAGAATTATTTAAGTCAACCTCAATAACATTACTTTTGGAATTGCAACTTGAAAGCAATGCATTAAATGAAAGCATAGATTTTTTATGTAAAACACAATTTTCCTCATGTTTTCTATAATCACGAACAGCATTACCCCACTCTTGATGGGGCTTGAAAACTAAATTTAATATTCCAGACTTATTCGGAATACTAGCACCTAGCAAAGTACAAGGAAGACAGTAAGCTCCATCTTCTTTGCTAGAATAAGCTAACCAAGAAAACTGGCTGAGCCATTTAAATTTAAATGATCTTTTTGTATTAAAAGATATTGGAAAAACAAACATAGAATTAGGACAAAATACTTTGTTTACCATATCTAACAAAATAGAATCATCTTTGCCAGCAATTAAAAGTTTACCTCGAACAAGATATATTGAAACATCATACAAAGAATTTAATTCATTATATGAAGGAATAATAACTGAGTTGGAGTCTAATGACTTAACTATTTTTGAATCTACAGAAGGTTCAAAAGGCAACTCTATGAAAGCATTGTCTTTTTTAAAGTTAATTTTAGATTGAATTTTCACATTTTTTGCAGAATCAAGTTTTTTTTTTTTTTATTTGTTTCAGTTTTAGGACTAAAAAAGTGTAAAGGATAAGTAGCATCGTTTTTTATAGCCAAATTCTTATTATTACTAGAAATTAGTTTAGGCTTTTTAATAATCGGTACAAAATGGTTCGGTGTCCAGTTATTATTATTTTGCATCACTGACATAATATCAGTATTACACCATAAAATATTTAAAACACTTTGATCTTGATTTTTAATTGAACGAAATGGAAAAATAATTGTATTAAAAAGTTTTTTGAATTTTTCTAAGCCAACATCTGGATTAATTGATCTAATAGGAATATTTAAAACTGATGACAAAGCAATTAGACATAAAAATGAAGAAAACTTGTTAGCTCGGCAGTTGATCAATGCTTCCATTATTATAATTTCAGAAGCTGATTCACTGTTAATTAATTTAAATTGATCTGAACATTCAAAAGAAACACAGGCTACTAGAACACTGGAAAGATTAGAAAAATTATTGTTTTCAACCTGTTTAACAAAAATGGAGCACCTCGCATAGTAGGAAGCTTTTTCAAACAATTCAATCGAAGTTAGAAGCCTTAACACATTAACTGTCTTCAGAGACGAATTGCTTAAAAGAGAAGCTGAACTGTTGAGGCAATTTCCATCTTCAGATGACCTTAAATAAAATAAAAAGTGTACTAAAACAAGCTCAGTTTATATTAAATACTAGCTGGAAATATAAAATACCATTAACTTTAATAATAGGGTTTTACCTTAAAGCAACATAATCTTTAGTAACTTCTTGCTTTGGGATAAAACGATCCATTTCAGTATTTTCAGATACTGAATATGTGGCTGAACTGGACTCTAATTATTTAAAACTTTCAATTCTTCAGTCAACTGGTTTTTATATTTGCGAATATTTGGCAAATGTCTAGCCTTATTTGCATTTGAGACTAAAAAATTCATTTTTCTTTTAAACTTTAGTTTACAAGCAAAGTCCAACGACGAAAATTACGAGCGAAGAACCTTTATCTGGTGGCATATCAGAATTTTGTAAAATTTGAACGATTTGGAGCAACTGATGCAATTGTTCTAAACTTTCTACAAATTTGATTGGTTATAAATAACATTTCTTATCTTTTTTGTAAAGTTTTTTGCGGAAGTTTTGTAGCAACTGATGCAATTGTTATTTTATTAAATAGTGATTGGTTTAAACTGTTTTTTAACCAATCATTAATGATATAGAGTACAATTGCATCAGTTGCTACAAAGTTATCGGAAAAATTTGGGAAAAAGTACAAATATGATTGGTTAAAACGTCCTTTTTTTTTTTTAAACTAATCACATTTGTATTTAATGAAGAACAATTGCATCAGTTGCTCCAAAACGCAGGAAATTTGTATAAGTAACGAATAAGTAACTATAGAGATAAAATAAAATCGAGTTTAAATGAATTTTTTTCGAGTTTAAAACAAGTATTTTATTTTTTGTGAATGCCAGATTCCCATTTCTACTTTTACTTTTTATTTAGAAAAAAAAGTGAAAAAGAGATACACTTAAATTTAGGGTTGAAAAAAGACTGATGCATGCGCATCATTTGCGACACCCTGGATCCGCCCCTGTTATATATATATATATATATATATATATATGTATATATATATATATATATATATATATATATATATATATATATATATATATATATATATATATATATTAATATATATATATTATTATATATATATATATATATATATATATATATATATATATATATATATATATATATATATATATATATATATATATATATATATATATTAAAGAGCAAGAAAAATCATTTACTTTAATAATGAGTGCAAACCTCAAAATTATAACTGATAGACTAGACACAATAGAGAAAGACAACAACAACAACAAGTCGAAAATAAAGAATATCGAGAAAGACCTGAACGAAATAAAGGACAGCCTCAGTTTTCAAGAGAATAAAACTTTAGAAAACATTTCACACTTAAAAAAATATTATGACAATCAAATAAATACATTATATAAAAAGTCAATAGACTTGGAAAATCGTTCCAGAAGAAATAATCTAAGAATAGATGGACTAAAAGAGTCTCCAGGAGAAAGCTGGGATGATAGTGAAAAAGAGGTAAAAAAGTTCTTTAATAATCAATTAAAAATATCAAAGGAAGTCGTTATAGAAATAGCACATCGCATCGGTCAAAAAAAAGATAATAAACCAAGAACAATAGTTTTAAAACTCCTGAACTTCCACGACAAAATATATATATATATATATATACAAAATACTCAACTCATTAACTCATCTTAAAGGAACTGGCATTTACATAAACGAAGATTTTGCCCAAGAAACTATCGAACATCGAAGGAAGCTTTGGGAAGAAGTGAAAAAATTACGTAGGGAAGGTAAATACGCTATTTTAAAGTATGATAAAATTTTTAGTCGAGATTTTAAAAATACGCGCTTTCAAAAATAACTTTACTCAAATCGAATTCTATTAAAAAAAAAAAAAAATTGATTTAATTCTTTTTTCGTCATGGCTAATGATTTTATAACAAAAGATTTTGATAAGTTGCGTTTTGACTTTTATAAACTAAAAATAATATCTTTGCGAATGATTTATACGACGACGATTTATTTATTTTTAATGGACCTGACTCTCCATACTTTGATACTAAAACTTTTAAAGCTGAACTTCATAACAATATAGACGAGTTTACGGTAATACACATAAACATTAGGAGCTTAAATACAAATATCGATAAGTTAAAAATTTTCCTTTTCGAATGCAAATATTCCTTTAGCATGATTTGTCTTACAGAAACTTGGTGTTCTGACGAAAATTCTTATACAAATTCAAACCTCCTAATCCCTAATTATAATCTTATTTCTTATGAAAGAAAAGCTAACAAAAGAGGAGGTGGAATAATAACCTACATCCATAATGACTTAAACACAAAAATTAGAAATGATCTTTCTATTTCTGATTCAAATAGTGAGGTCTTTACAGTTGAAGTCATTAATGATACTACAAAAAATCTCTTAATACCCTCTTGTTATAGACCGCCCGATGGAGATATTATAATGTTTTCAAGTTTAATGAAACAAATATATACAACAAGCAATGTTGAACATGGTGGAATAATAACCTACATCCATAATGACTTAAACACAAAAATTAGAAATGATCTTTCTATTTCTGATTCAAATAGTGAGGTCTTTACAGTTGAAGTCATTAATGATACTACAAAAAATCTCTTAATACCCTCTTGTTATAGACCGCCCGATGGAGATATTATAATGTTTTCAAGTTTAATGAAACAAATATATACAACAAGCAATGTTGAACAAAAAGCTATTCTGTATTGGTGACATGAACATAAATTACCTAAGTTATCATGAACACGCTAATACCAAATTTTTTTTCGATGATATGATACAACATTACATTTTCCCAATTATAAACAAACCCACCCGGGTAACTCCCACCTCAATTACAGCTATTGACAATATATTGACAAATTCAATTCAAGATCCATCCTTAAAAGTAGGAATAATTAAAACGGATATATCTGACCACTTCCCAATTTACTTCTCACTATCACAACAAGCAACACGTGTCAATAACTTGAAAATAAAAATCATCAAAAGAAGGATAAATAAATTCTCGACCCAAAAACTAAAAGACTCACTAGCGGTAGTAAATTGGTCAAAAATATATCATGAATGTAACCTCGGACACACAAATTCCGCTTACAATAAGTTTATATATATTTTCCTAAATCTCTACAATAAACATTTTCCAAAGGTCGAAAAAGAAGTTAATACAAAATACCTAACCACTCCATGGATTACCCAAGGAATAAGAAAATCGTCAAAACAAAAACAAAAACTCTACATAAAATATCTAAAAAATAGAAACCATTTTAATTTGTCTAAGTATAAACAATATAAAAATCTATTTGAAAAAATAAAATTAAAATCCAAAAAACTATATTTTTTAAAGCAAATACAAAAATTTAAAGGAGATAATAAAAAAATCTGGGACATTATAAAAGAAATAATTGGTAAAGATAAAAAAAACTCGAACCAACTACCTCCAAAAGTTCTCATAAGTGAAAAAGAGTTTAATAATAAAAAAATTATCTCTGAAAAATTTAACAAATACTTTGCAAGTATAGGTTCCAAACTCGCCTCTAAAATTCAACCTACAAACAATTCATTTGAGAATTACATCGAGGACTCTCGTTGCTCCCTAGTTTTTAAAGAACTAGAATACGAAGAACTTGAAACAGCAATTAAAACATTAAAAATTAACAAAGGTCCAGGTATCGACAATATCCCAGCCAATATTATTTTGAATGTCTTCCCAGAAATAAGTAAACCCATTTTTCAAATATTTAACTCTTCAATAATTACAGGAATTGTACCCGACTATTTAAAAATAGCTAAAATTATTCCTATCTATAAATCCGGAGATACATCTTCCTTAAATAATTACAGACCAATATCAATCCTTCCCGTATTTTCAAAACTGCTCGAACGAATAATCTAGAATCGTTTATATAAATACCTAATCACAAACAAAATCCTGAATGAAAACCAATATGGTTTTCAAACTCAGCACTCGACAGAGCATGCTATCGTAGACCTCGTCAATAGAATTAGTGAATCAATCTATGAAAAGAAGTTCGTATTAGGAGTCTTTGTAGACTTGTCAAAAGCGTTCGACACAATAAATCATGAAATCCTACTAAAAAAGTTGGAAAAATACGGATTAAAAAACCATACACTGCAGTGGTTTAAAAGTTACCTGTATAACAGACAACAGTGTGTTATTACAGATGATAATTACCACAGTAAATTATTAAAATTAACTTGTGGTGTTCCTCAAGGTTCGATTCTTGCTCCTCTTTTGTTCCTAATCTATATAAACGACCTTCCAAAAGTTTCTAGCAAACTTGAATTTATAATGTTTGCAGACGATACAAATTTATTTTACTCTTCGACAAACATCAAGGATCTGTATGATAATGTAAACATAGAACTCCAAAAATTAAATATATGGTTTAAAACAAATAAGTTATCCCTAAACATAGAAAAAACAAAATACACTTTATTTCACTCAAACCAACAAAGAAATACACTACCAAATATTCTACCCTCTCTAAAAATAGAAAATATAGTAATTGAGAGAACTCACGAAACTAAATTTTTAGGAGTTATAATTGATGAAAATTTATCTTGGAAAAGTCACATAAATGCTTTAAACACTAAAATATCAAAAAACATAGGTTTACTTTATAAAGCAAAACCTATGCTGTCGCAAAGTAATTTAAAACTTATATATTTCTCTTTTATACATAGCTACCTCATATATGCGAATATAGCTTAGGCGAGTACGCATATAACCAAATTGAAAACTTTATATCGACGTCAGAAACATGCTGTTAGACTAATCTACTATAAAGACAAATTTACACACACTGAACCCTTATTTAAAGAAATGAATGTGCTTAATATTTATCAAATTAATATTCACCAAAACATATTGTTTATGCTAAAATTTAAATTAGGTCAAGTACCAAACCATTTTTTAAATAACTTTTTTATAAATAACGTTAATAAATATAACACAAGAGAAAAAGGAAACTTTATTACACCTTTCAAAAAAACAAAACTTTCCCAGTTCTCAATTTCATATCGGGGTCCTTATTTATACAACAAACTAGCAACTAAAAATAAATCAATTTGCAATCTAGATTCAATTTGCAATCAAAATTTCTTGAAAAAAAAGTTAAAAAATCTGATACTGAATCTAAACAGATACTCAGAATTCTTCTAAGACTATAAATTAAAATAAATATATATCAACTACAAAGTGAACTGACTCGTTTATGTGTATTATCTAAATGACTCTTACCTTTCTCAAACAATATATCAAAAATTGTTTATTACACACAAAAAAAAAACACTTGATTTTTTCTTATCAAGTTTAGTTATTATGCTGCTAGTTAAGTCTAATATTTTATACTGAGCTTATTTTGAGTTTATTTTTTATTATGAGCTAAATTTAAAGAATATATAAACATAGTTGTACTTAATATATAATTATATTTAACATAATCATAATAATATATCAAACACATTGTAAGGGCTACGTGATAAGATCATTACGATCTTCTTGAAGTCCGGCCTGTACTATTTAATTATAAATTTCACTATATATTTTGACTCACGAGACTTGTAAATATTACTTTTAATTTACGAAACTTGTAAATGTTATATGTACGGCAAATATATGAATAAAAAAATATATATACATATATATCTGTGTGTGTGTATGATATGGTTTATATTAATTATACATTATAGAGAAATATTAACTGATAAAAAACTTGTAGTAAGTTTTTTGTGAGTTGGCATTATATTTACTAATTATATATAAAATGTGCAAAACAAATTTAAAGTTATCCAATTTTATTGTATGTTATTTGTTATAAAGTTGATATATTAAAATTTGTTAATATATTAAATATTAAATAGTAGTTTATATTTTCAGGATGAACTACACAATATTCAAAAGTTGCATTAAATTTTGTAAAAAAAATCCCATTTTTGACAAACGTTTCTTTGATGAAAATAAATTAAAGGTATACAGACTTGTCAAGTTTATTAATCAAAATGAATCAGGGGATAAATGAATTCGAAGTAACTATCTCATGGAAATTGACACTAATAAAAATACATGCTGTTGTAAAAAACTTCTTTTATTAGTGAGAAAAGCTTAAAAAAGATGGTTAAAAAGTTAAATTATTTTTACGCAAACTTTGATCAATTGATTAAAGTACAAAAACATTAATATTCAATAAAAAATCCTTAGGAAACAAATTTCACTTAAGTGCTAAATAATTAATGAAAATTATCAAATTTATACTTTCATTTTGGATAACGAAGCTTTTTACACTTTATGTGCTGTTTACTTACTTTTAACAATTGCTTTTTCATAGATGGTATTGAAGCTAGTGCAGAAAATGTAAAATATAAATATAGAGTTAGTCAAAAATTTTTAAACCTTTAATTAAAATGGTATTTAATCGACATTTTTACTTAAAAGAAATGATAAATGTTTAACTCCTATCTGGCAGTTATAAAAATTGTATAGTGTGTTTTAGCCTAACCAGGAATCACCTTGTCGTCAAAACTGTCACAACAACTATTAAAACTAAAAAAATTTATTATCTAAAAAGAATTGAGAACCAATCTCATGTTCAAGCAATGACCTCGCAAAAATGTGAACGCATTTTTCTAACGGAATTTTTCTAAAAAATAACTTTTTTAAAGAGGAAAAAAGAAAAAGGGGAAAGAAAACAATTATAAATTAAACGAAAAATAAAATCAACAACAACAAAAGAAAAGAATAAATTAATGTTTCAAAAGAAGAAAAGAAAAAAAAAAACGTGAAAAAAAAAAGTAAAAAAGTAATTTTTTTTTTTCATTTCATTTTATATTTCGCTGTTAATATAAATTGCAGATGAGTTTTACATGGTAAGTATCAATAAATAAAATATTTTAAAAACAGACGGGGACTCAAAGAAGATATGGATGATGCAATACCACCTCCATCTTTTCATAAAGCCGTAATAAAAATAGAAGTTAGAAAAAAAAGTTAATAAATAAAATAAATAAAAAGAATGGAAAAGAAAGAAAAAAAAATCTATTTAAACGTTGGAAAAAAACAACAGAGAAAGATCGGTAAACCAAGATTTTTTTATTTTTTCATATATTTCTGTAGTTTTCTTTCATATATTTCTTAGGATTAGTTATTAAGGACTTTATTTTTTAGTTATGCTGTTAGTTCTGTTGTCTTGTAGTAATGATTTTATTTTTCTCTTCAGTTTTTTAGCGTATATAGTTTTACTTACTATTTTTTGTTAGTCATTTATTGTTTTTTTTTTTTTAATAGTGATATATAAATTTTTTTATTCAGTTATATATTATTTGTTTTTATGTTTATTTTAGCTATTTATTATAAGTGTTTTATTCTACCGAATATTATTACTATTACTTTTTTTTCTTTATTCATTTATTTATTATTATTATTTTTTAAATCTTTTTATTTTATTTATTTTTGCTAAAAGTACTTAACGTAATTTTTTGTTTTGTTTGTAATGTGTGTTGTAACTTGTTTTGTTTTGATTTTCTCAGTGTTTTTCTGTTATGGGGCCATTCATAAAGGACGTCATCCAAATAGGGGGAGGGGGGAGGGGTCGAGTTAAAAAGGACGAAAAAGGACAAGGGGAGGGGGGAGGTTGTCAGAAAAAGACGTCACTTTTTAGATTTTTTATTTTAGTTTAATTAACATGGAAAACTACGTAAACATGTGTTTTTAAGAAGATAATGTATGAGAATATTTTTAATTTTATTTTTCAAAGGTGTACCAGCAGATTCAAACATCATTGCGAACTGAAATAATTTTTTTTGGAATTAAAAATAGGGGGGGGGGGTCAGGATTTTATGACGTCCTTTTCAAGGGGGGTATAGGGAAAAAGGACAACCGGTGACAAAGGAGGAGGGGGGAGAGAGGGGTCAAAAACTGGCTAAAAAATGGTGACGTCCTTTATGGATGGCCCCTATAACTATTTAATAATATTAACTAAATGATTGAAAGGATGATGTCACTCAAAAGATAATGGAACAATTTTGAAACTCAAAAGATTTTGGAACAAAAAAAAAACAAAAAAAACTTTGATCACTATAAACACTTTTTAACTTATGCGTTTTAATAAATTTTAATGGGGTTTAAATCTGAAATTTTTTTTTGTTTTAAATTCTTATAGGGTCCTATAGGACTTTTTGACTAGGGTAATATTGAAATATTTACAATGCGCTTTGAATTTTAAAATGCGCTTTTCTCAATTTTATTACTTAAGAAATATCTTTGAGTTTGTAAATGTAACTTCACACTTTTCATCATATTGAATCAATGATCGCGCTCATCTAAAACACGTGAAAAATTGAATCTTCGAAAAAAAAAAAAAATGCATAGGTGCAAAAAGATATTTATGCAGATATCTAAGGATGCATATATTAGACGCATTTCACGTCAAGCATATTTTAAAGCGAAACAACATGTTTTTACAAGCTGAGCACTTTCAGCATCTTTGAAATCCAAAACTTTAAAATGTAACGTCTCATCTTGCAAACTGTGCTAAAGTTTTTTATACATTGTCACATTAATCCATTTTCAAAATAGCTTAACATTTCATATATTATTGGTTTATTAATATTTCATATATCATTGACTATTGTTTCTAGATCCTCCATGCAATTTAAGGAGTTGAATCTTTTGCATTTTTATCTTAATTGTATTGTATCAATGGAAAAGCACCCATATTAACATCTCAAAATTTTCTCCTAGTGATAAAAGGTTTTTCTTATTGTAAACAAAAATTAATCATATCTAGTAGGTTATCATTACTGAATTGTAAAAATTTGAAAAATGATAGCATAAAAACTGTTCTATATTTACGCGTCAGGAACTATTATATCCATAGAGATCACTTTCATACTCATTTTTGAATGACAACAGCAATTTATTAAAGTTAATCGGATGATTACAAATGTCAATATTCATTAGAGACATTTGCTTGGCTTAGAGACATTTGCTGGCTTAAACACCAACTCTAGTGTTTTCTCATGTTTTTCGTGCATAAGAAAATGTTTCAATTGAAAGGAAACAAAACGCTTGCACACATTTTAACTTAAATCATATTTCTAACATTAGATAAAATACTGTGAAGCAGATAACATTCAAATAAGTTTTAACACAGTCAACTCCATTTTTTTATCTTCTATAGTAAATTGTAACACACAGTAACTGTTGGAATCCTTATAAATCAATAAGTTGAAACAGGGATTGATTCAAACCATAATCAAGTCAATTTCATTATTTTATCTTCAATCAACTGCTTTAAATTTCTTCTATACCTCATTTTAATAAGCTCTCTCTTAGCGCTTTCAAAGTCGTTATTAGTGAAAGCAATATTTGTATCTTCGATATCATGTTTAATATCGGCATCAATGTTTGAAAGCATAATCTTAAGCTCATCAACATCTTCACACTCTTCTACTTGGAAATTGAGAGCGAATATCGAAGATATAAAATCATTATCATTTACAGATCGCTCATCTACCACGTAACCATTTAACTCAAGTAAATACAAACCTCGTTTAAGAGGATCGGATAAAACCTTATGAGCCTCGTTAATAACAGCCGAATGAACAGTAGAATAACTTTGTTCTCTTGAAGATTTTTTTACAAATTTATCAGGATGAAGACGCGTTTGCAGTTTTATATAATATTCTTTTAAACTAGATACAGAAATATCAAAGGTTTGGCGGAGTTGAAGAAGTTCAAAAAAGTTTAAACTCTTTGAAGCACATTCTCCACATTGTATAATCTCACAAGATGGACAAAACAGCTTGCAGTCGTGTTTGAACTCACAATTCCAGCAACTATTTGTACAGCCATATGTGCTATGATCGCGCTTTGCAAGTAAACTATTTTTCACTGCATGGTGAGAATAACGTATCAGCGGCGAGATAAACCACAAACGCGGAAAATTAGAACTTTTTAACGTGTTCATAATAACAGAGAGTTTTGTTTGTTGCATATTAACTTTATTTTTTACCTATGAAAACACAGAAGTAAATTTTAAAATAAGAACTAAACATGATAACAAAGATTCTACCCTACTATATCAAAATATTGTAATATACCAATATTTCCAAATAGAAATCAAAAGAAATAATAGGGTTTACTGCAATTTGGTTTGTAAAAAAACTTGGCAAAAATAAAAAAAAGTATTTTAAGATTTATTTAATATTTAAATTATATAAAAACCGTAACACATTTGTAATGTTAACTTAATTTTTTAAAACTTTTCTTCAGTTTTAAATTGAGAGCTATACGCGTCAAATTACTATATTTAATTTTTCGCCCTTTCTCGTAAAATTATTCGTAGTAATATACTATTACTATGAATAAATTTAGAGGTAAATTAAACAGAAAATTTTATTTGTATAAATTTACTATAATATTGCCACAAATAAGCTATATACAATATTATTGTTACAAATATACTTTAATTTTCAATAATAAAAATATCAAAACAAAAAAAAAACTATAAAAGTATAAATATAAAGAATTAAACACAAAATTTTAATTGTTATTTTTATCATATATTACAAATTTTCTCAAAAATAATATATTTTTTTAATATAATAAACTTTAAGATTTTGTTGCGTAAATATATATTTTTATTTTATAATAAATCGTTTAAAAGAAAAAGAAGTTAAAGATAAATGGATAAGAAGAAGGACTGCTCCATAAATTTTTATTCATCTTTGAAGTTGCCGTTTGTGCTAGGGAGCTTAACCGGGACAGCATGCCATATATCTCTTGCATATTCCATAATCGAACGGTCGCTGGAAAACTTTCCGGAATTCGCCACATTACTAATACACATTTTTAACCACATAGCGCGATCCTGAGTGATTAAAAACAAAATTAAATATTACTTCAAAGGAAATTTAAATTAACACACAAAAATGAGATAAGATTTCGACAGGTGTGCACGCAGAGATAGAGGAAGTGAAATAGAAATCTGATGCAAAAGTAGACAGAGCAAGTGACGTATGAGGTAAGTTAAAAGTACATACTTATGCACACCTAGCTGGTGAATTAAAATCACACTACACATAGGCAAAATAAAAAGAGATGAAAATAAATGATTTAATACCAACATAGATCACACATAGACCAAAAAGTGAGATAAAAAAAAATACTGTTTTAAGACATACAACAAATAACAAACATACATCACACTGAAAAATATTAACACAGCTAGACAAACAAAAAATAAAGATAAAATTAAAAATAAAGCCCAATAAATAATTCTGTTTAATAAAACATACCCTGTATACTTGAGATATTGTGTCTTGACAAGCAACATAAGATTCATAATCTTTTAACAGGAAAAATCTGAAGCAGGAGAACAAAATTAGTCTTTAACTAATTAATACATACATATATGGTAAGAACATTTAAGTTGGTAGACTGCTAAAAAAATTATTTTTGAATTTTACAATATTTCAATAGATTTTTTTACTTCAAACATGATAAATACATTAGAAAACTTATAATTTATATATATATATATATATATATATATATATATATATATATATATATATATATATATATATATATATATATATATATATATATATATATATATATATATATATATATATATATATATATATATATATATATATATATATAGGGAAAAAACAGGTATTTTTAGGTCAAAAACAGGCTAAAATCTTGGCAAAGATACCTCAAAAAGTATAATTTATTAAGTTCTAATTTTTTGTATTTTTATTTGTTTTATGTAGATAAATGTCCTGAGATAAACATTTTTGTTGAAAATTTCTTTTTTTTGAAGCATCGTTAGATTTTTCAAAGCGCCCAATTAAAAATTGAATTTCTGATATTAAGAACCAAAATTTTTATTTTATTTTATTTATATTCTAAATTTATATTCTAATTCATCTCAGGACATAAAGCTTATAATAATAAATCTCTGGAAAAAATTTGAAGTCAATTGGACTATTACAGCTCCTGCAATCTTTGCCAGAAAATTAGAAGAATAAAACAGAGAAAAATGGATATAAAATTTAAAATATTGAATATACCAACTTATGAAAACAGGTTAAAATCTCCCTTTTTTACATACTATCCCTCTTAATCATTGTATTTATTATCAAACCCTTTCCTAGTTGCTTTAAGATTTTTTCTTTGTTTTTTAATTTTTTTTCATTTCTAACCTTAACTAGCCGTTGCTATGAACGTTGCTACGGGAAAAAAAATTACCCTGCTAAAATAAATCACTTTTATTAGTTCTAAATTTGTTTTTCTCATATGAAGATCTATATGTTTTTAGATTCTACAACAGTTACTGTTTAAAACAATGCCATTTTTGATAAATTGTTTTTTTCTAACTTTTTTAGCAGTCTACCACCTTAATCGTAGAGAGTGATTTTTGATCTTATTTTACTAAAATTTCTTTGAAAAAATTAAAAATAATAATGTTGAAAGATTTAACATTAAAAAAATTAAAGGTTAGTCGTTCTAATTATTATCAAGATAACGTCATTCAGAATAACAATAAGATTTTTTTTTATTTGTTTTAGTTATTCTGTGAAAAAAAAAATTCTTTACAAAAAACATCTTTTTTTTTTGGAAATTTATTAATTATAATTTTTCAACAAAAACATAGTGTTGTATAACTTTTTGTTGTTAATGTCGTACAAATATTAATTTGAGCATAAATTCTTAAATTTTGCATATATTAATTTGCACGCACATAAATTAATGTGCGAAACTGTGTAAAATATGTTTTTAACTTTTTCCATCTATCAAATGACTGTTTTACAATTGTGGTTATAATTTTTAGTATAATTATTTTCATTTAAAAAACTAGAATTAACAACATTTTGGGAATAATGTTGCGTAAAAAACTCAACTAAATAAAACGCAACAAAAAATTAAACTTAATTTAACAAGAAAACTCTTGTAGAAAAGTACAAGTCAAAAACATTCTTTTTTACACCAAACATTCTAAGAAATATATAAAACATTTAAAATTTGCACTGGTAAAGGTTGATAACTAAAAAGATGAATAAAAAAGATTAACAACAAATATTGCTTCAAAAATGAAACAAATATATCTAATAATCTGAAAAACCTTACAAGAATTTCATTAAAATCCAATCCAGGCAGTGGAAATTGCATAAGCAGAGTTTAGTGGGTCAGGGGTGTACCCTTGTAGTCGTCTGGTGGCACGGTGGTTATATAAAATATACCCATTGTAATATATTGTAAAAAATAGTTTTTAACATTAAGTAATATAAAAAAACAACTGAAATTTGCAACAAAAAAAAAGAGTATATTTTAAAATCTAGAATGGAAGACAAAGATTTTGGCAAAAGAGAGAAGCTTTTTATTTGAGTTAAACGATAGGACTAGTTAAATATGCATAATACATAATATGGGGGAGGAAATGTAATGCTTAAACATAAAAATGTGATTATTCTATATTTCAAATTTTCTTTTTTTCTAAAGAAATTATTTCTTATTTTTCATTTAATCTAATAAAGTCCATTAACACTGGTTGCATTTATACAATCCTGAACCCAATTGGCAATTATATGCAAAGTAATAATAATAGATTATTTAATGAGTATAGCACATATATCTAATCTAAAATATAATCTAGCATAATATAAACAGAATACTTCATCTAAACAACATTAATTTTGCACTAAAGCAAAAACAAACCTGTCTCTATGAAGCAGTTCATCAACAATATGCTGAAAGGTTCCACTTGGAGCAAATAATGATCCACTAATTTGATCAATGCACCTTTTAAGCTCCCAATTGTTTTCATAATAAGTGAATGGCCTATAACTATATTAAATTTTTATTAAATATATACATTTTAGAGTAGTTCAAAAAACCAGAAATTTACAAAAATTTAATATCACACATGCTAAATGTGTTCTATATAATAAAAAAAAATTTGATAAAAAAAATTTTAAGAAAGTTTTTTTAATTCAAACTCAAGACCCTTAAGCAAGATCCCTAATATTATACATCTTTAAAGAAAAGTGCTTCAAAAATTAGACGTGTGTTTATGTAGAAGGTGGAACATGCAAGGGCACGGTTTGTAAATTTGGGACCCTAATATCAATGAAATACCCTATGAAAACCCTTTTAAGGGGGGATAGTACATAACAATGGATGGCCATACAGAGTGATTTTGAAATCCTGCATTAACATCCAATGGAGATTTTTTACCTTGAAGGTTTGAAGAAAATAAGAATTTTAAGCAACATTTGGCAGCCTATTTGTAGTACAAAAATACATTTCTGATTTTTTATCATAAAACAAAAAATGTTAAAAACATAAATTGGGAGCTTTTTTATTTTATTCATTTATTTTCTTATTGATCGCATTTAGAAGATAAACAACAATTTCTATAATTCCATTAAAAATTATAATGCTCTCTAGAGACGAATCATCTGGAACAAAATAAAGGCACTAAAATATTACAAATCTGTTAAGAGTATTCTTAGGATTTTTTTAACACTGTTCTTTAGATCTAGATTTTCTTGCTGTTGTATTCGATCACACACTTCAGGAGTTGGCTGGCATAGTCTGGATGTGAGGAATCTCGTTTGTATCTCTCCCAATGAACTTTGAAATTGGAGTGCAGAGCTTCTGTTGCCTGCTCACTGAAGAGACCCAATCCTGTTTTCTTGATTTTGATGAACTGAGGTACATGGTAAAACACTGCATGTACTTTTGGAGTAACTGAAATGGGTAGTCGGATGTAGCTTTGTTTGAACTTGGAGATCTTCGATTCATAATCAGGATCCATATTATTGCCAAAGCAAGAAATGACCACATCCTTAAATAGTGCAAGTGTTTGCATGAAGTCATGAGCTTGACTAAAATTGTTGTATCCTGTGACCAATTGCAACTTGTCTAAACCTCTCAAGAGCTTCATGCAGTCATTCCCATTGAAATGTCCACCATGGTAGGGCTGAATAGGAATATGAAGTGAAGCTGGCCATTTCTCGGCCCCTGGCCAAATTTTGCAAAGATTTTTATACAAATGGTTTACTACTCCAAGTAACAAATAGAGCTCCATTGGAGGGATAGCTTCAAGCACAAGCTTGTGATCAGGAAAATCAACCAATGGTACGTGAATGACATTTTTGAACTCCTTTGATTTTCTTGTATCTCCTCCTGCGTTAATGAATTCAAAATGTTGTCTCCTAATCTCGCCAAAAGTTCGAGGACTTCCACAGTTTTGGAGGTTTAAAGACGAAACATCACACCAACAACATGGGTGTTTGCTGCTATGGGATTGAATGCCACACAGAATATTTGCCAACTTTAGGTCACATGATATGACCAGAGAATCCATCTGACATTTCTCTTGTACTTGGATGAGGTCAAAAATTACCTTCACATTATGGTAGTTCTCTGGAGTGTTTTGTGCAATTGCTACCAGTAGTTGCTGCTTGACACTTATTGATTTAGTTGTTTGTGGAGACATCAACTTGATTGTTTTCTGCAGTGGGCTATGTGGCGGTGTCTCACCTTCATCCACAATGATGTGTGTGAAGCTGACTTTCAAAAAAGATCCTCCACCATCAATCCCTAGTTTCAAAATTGCAGAATCTGTCATCTTTCTTGATGCTAAGAAGATATCACTAAGACTACTGAGGTTTTGACAATGCACAACTTGGGATATTTGATTGTTTTCAGCAAGAGTGATGCTGCTCACAGTGAAGTGATCACAAAGTTTTTGGCCTGCTTGAGCGAATTTTTGCTGAAAACTTGGCTCCACCAATCTGATAGGACTGATTTGATTTAGTGCCGATCCCAGTTTTCTCATCCCATTGTTTGAAAGTCCTATATTCTTCTGAATTTGAACCATATTCTGCGTTGTGAGAGGCTCTTTGAAAAGTTGCTGTGCTGATGAAGGTCCTAATTATAAAAATTGCATTTAAAAAATAGTTCATGACCTTCAAAAATGACCTGCAAATATATTTGCAGAGAAAATTTTATTTTTAAATTAAGTAAGTTTTTGAAAAATAAATAGATAATATTTATATTTTAATTTAATCATTTAAAGTTCAAAAGCACTATTACCTTTTCTCAATGGCAATAACTTTCCACAAGGTTGACTGAGTCTGATCGTGCCATGAGGAGATGCACTTTTTGATGCCAAAACTGTTGCTGCAACTTGCTCTGCACCAATGGGATCAGAGGCAGCCATTCTTCTCAAATTTTCATGGCGTGTTCCAGGAGTGCAGTAGCGAGGAAGCCCACGACCAATAACTGACAAGTACTTAGTACAATGCTTTTCTGCATTTTGCGAAGATTGTTGGGGAACTTTTGGTGCTGAATCTTGAACCTTGCTTAATGGATGCCTTTCTTTTCCCTTGAGTTTGGCAATCTTACAAATCAAGCACTCACAGACTGTAGAAAAACAAGTGAGAGGCTTGATCGAAATTGATTCAAAGTCATAAATCTGAGGCACAACATTTGTTTTACCATCACACAGCTTTCCAATGTGAGATCTGCAGGAGATGCAGGTCGCCAATAGTACTCTGTCATCATTGAAGTTAATTTCTTTCTGAATTTGTTGAAGAATTTTAGCTTTGAAGTTTTCAGTCAATACTTGATCACCTTTCTTCATACAGATAACACAAACAGATTTTCTACATTCTTCATGGTTTTTGGCAAATGTAGGCATCTTTAAATTCTTAAATATTTGTTCACAAAAAAATATGTTTTCCTTCAAAAACTATCTTAAAGTGTACTGCCTTTTTCCAGAATATATTTGTTTACTCTTTTCGTTAGTTTCGAAAGTTCGATTTTACGCTTGCACTGATCAAAACGCTCAATAAAGAATTATTTAAAAAAAAATGAATAAAATAATAAACATTTTACGTTTCATGGGCTACAATCTTTATTTTATAAAAAAAATTAAGGGAGAAAGTTTAGAACCATTAATAGGCAGCTTAATTTGGCTCATAAATCAACCCTTTTAAAAAACCTTCATGATCAAATAATTCTTTTTGATGTTAATCCCCGATTTCAAAACAACTCAATATAGACTCCCATTGGCATGTACTATCCCCCCTTAAAAGGGTTTTCATAGGGTATTTCATTGATATTAGGGTCCTAAATTTACAAACCGTGAGGGAGTGCTGCTACATCAACTAAGAGTTTAGGTTGGGACAGCAGTCATTTTTTTATTATCCTTTTTTTTTTTTTTCTTCTTTTCTTTTTCAAAAAAAACGTATGGATTTAAGAAAGCAAAAAAGTCTGTAAATGTATATCTATTAGGGTGGCTCTTAAAACAAATTTTTTGAGAAAAACCTGCTCTGACCTCTTTAATTTGTTCTATATAATACTAAAACACTAGATTTAAAATTATTTTGAACAAAAAATATTTTTAGGGGTAGCTCAGACCCTTAAAAATTTGACGGGTCCCTAGTATATTGAAAAAAAAAGTTTTTCTAAAGAATGTCAACCTGGTACTCAAAATAAGCAAAATTAAAAAAAAATTTTAAAATGAAAATCATTTTTCATAAAAATAATTTTTTCAGATATAAATACATAAAAACTGTTATTTTTAAGCTGAAAATAAAAAAAGTCAATATTTTCAAGTTTTTTGAGAATAATTTTTTTAAACATGTTTTTTATGTAAATTGATTAAGGCTGTATAAGTGTGAACTGGCATATGTGCAAACTGGTATAAGTGCGAAGCGTTGCAAAAACTGGCATAAGTGCGAACTGGCATATGTGCGAACTGGTATAAGTGTGAAGCGTTGCAAAAACTGGCATAAGTGCAAACTGGCATATGTGCGAATTGGCATAAGTGCGCGAAAACATTTTGCAAACATTGGCATAAATGCGAATTAAGATAAGTGCAAACTGGCATAAGTGCGAAGCAGTTGCAAAAACTGGCACAAGTGTGAACTGGCACAAGTGCGAATTGGCATAAGTGCGAACTGGCATAAATGCGAAACAGTTACAAAAACTGGCATAAGTGCGAATTGTTATAAATGCGCCAAATAAAATTTCTAATATTGACATAAGTGCAAATTAGTATTTCGCACTTATGCCAATTTGCACTTATGTCAGTTCGCACTTATGCCAATGTTTGCAAATTTATTTGGCGCACTTATGCCAATTCGCAGTTATGCCAGTTCGCACTTATGCCAGTTTTTGTAACTGCTTTGCACTTATGCCAATGTTTGAAAATTTGTTCGGCACACTTATGCCAATTCGCACTTATGCCAGTTCGCACTTGTGCCAGTTTTTGTAACTGATTCGCACTTATGCCAGTTCGCATATATGCCAATTCGCACTTATGCCAAAGTTTGCAAATTTGTTCTACTCCTAAAAATATTTTTTGTTTAAAAAAATTTTAAACCTATTATTTCCAGAAAAAAAAAAAAAAAAAATCAATTAGAAGAGCAAAAATGTCACCAAACATACAAATGTATATCTATACACACAATAGTGTATATATATCTATATACATAAATCCACTTTTATTATGTTACAACTCTAAAAACTTCACAAACCCTGACTTTTGTGCTTCTTCAACTTGATCAACTGTCATTCCAAATATAAATATATTTTCATAACCCATTTCCTCAGCCATTTCAACATTTGCTCCATCAAGTGTTCCTATAGTTAGTGCTCCATTTAACTACAAAACATTAAAAAGAAAAAATAGAAATAGTTTTATTTCTCAGAATATTTAACTTGATATTAGTTTGTAAACATGAATATTTCAAATGAACTATTTAAAAAAATTTATATAGTTTATATATAAAAATTCTATATAAAAAAGAAACATATACCATAAACTTCATATTTCCTGTTCCACTGGCTTCAGTACCTGCGGTTGATATCTAAAAAGTTTTTAAAATAAAAGATAAATTTAAAATAAAAAATATTAAAAAAAAAAAAAATTAATTGCGTAAAAAAATTTATTATTACCTGCTCAGAAAGATCTGTGCCTGGTATGACTAAAAAATTTTATAGAGTTGTTTTAAAAAGTGTAAAGAGTACTGACTTACAAACTAAAATGATAAAAAGAACATTTGAATTAAATAAAAAAAATGAAATAAATTACTTTTCTCAGCCATTGAAACTCTATAGTTTTCCAGAAAAACCACTTTTAACTTATCATCGATTTCAGGGTCACAGTTTACAACTAAAAAAAACTCATCATCATTATAATCATCATCATCATTGTCATCATCATCATCATCATATATTACTATAAAAAGAAAAAAAAACCTTTTGCAACTGCAAGGATCAACTTAATTATTAACTTTGCCATGTAGTAACCTGGGGCTGCCTTAAATAAAACAATATCACTAATATATATATACATATATATAACACATATATATATATATAACACATATATTTATAAAAAATATATATAATACATATCTCTCTCACTCTCTATCTCTCTCTCTCACACTATATATATATATATATATATATATATATATATATATATATATATATATATATTCAGCTTAAAAGTATATGTATAAAAGTATGGTTTACATATATATATATATATATATATATATATATATATATATATATATATATATATATATATATATATATATATATATATATATATATATATATATATATATACATATACATATATATAAAGGCTAAGACTAGAAATTTTTTTTTAAGAATTTTGAATTCCCTGTCACCATGAGTGGAGAAATTATATTTATAAACAGAAAATATAAGTTTTTGATGTTACATTTTGTAAAAGATCACCCCCTAAGCTGAAAATAATTTTTCCTATCTATTTAGTTATCTTTATGAGTTATAAATAACGTAATAGACACACAAAAATGGTCTTGCTTCAGACAAGAACAAGAAATTTTTGTGAATCAAATTTAGTAAGGTTTGAAAAAGTTAAGACTTCAAGAAGATGTGCTGTTATTAAAAGTATTGGTGAAATGAATAAGTTGCCAACAGAACAGCATATCATTAATCAATTTAACAGTTTGTCATCAAATGTGAAAAGCAGAAAGGAGAAATTTGCAATTGTGGCTAAAGAAAACGAACTACTATAAAGAAAGCTAAATATTCCCATTCTACAAGGGAAATCAGCACCAGAAAGAAAAATAGATAATATATTGAAAAAACTTGACAAAGATAATCAAAAACCTGGAACTCAAAATTTTATCCAATTGTTTAACATAACTGATGAGAAAGGTGAATGGTTGTGTCAGGAAAATAAAGAATTTTATGGTCTGCAAATATAAACAAATGGAAGAGTTGGATATTGTACCACAATTGAAGATACTGAAGGTATTCATCCAAGAAATCTAGTGTTGATAAAGAAACAAACATACATCAGCCAAGACCAAGATTTCGATGAACCAGCCAGTCAAGCAGGTCATTCAGACACTAGAGAGCAGTGTTCCAGCAGTGATACTGAAGCTGAAGATGTCGAAAGTTCATCATCATCATCTAAAAGACAAAAAACAAATTTGAATGTATATTTAAATTAAAAAACAAATTTGAATGTATATTTAGTGATTTCTGCGAAAAAATATTGCAAAAAAAAAAAAAAAAGTCTGCAAAACTTTATCAAAAGTGTTTTGATATCCAAATTGTTGTCTACAAAGTTGACATGAATGAAGGAAAAAAGTTGAAAGCAAATTATATGGAGAAATTAAAAAATAAAAAGTGGTCTTTACACTTTGATAGAAAGCACATAAAGAAAATGGAACATCAAAAACTTGTTTTGAGAAATGAAAAAAGAGAGGTTAGACTTGGTGTTCTCGAGCTGATGAATGGAAAAGGTGAAACAATATTTAATTAGATAAAGCTTGTGCTGGACAAATATGAGCTGTGGCCAGCCATAAAAATAATTGTATATGACAAAACATCTGCAAATACAGGAATAAGAGTTGGTGTAGTAACATTGTTACAGAAACATTTCAAAACTATTGGACAAGAAAAGCCTATTTTTACAGGATGCCAACACCATATCTTAGATACTCTTTTAAAACATGTCATGATTGACCTTTTTAAAAGATCAACAACATCACCAAATCTCCATTACCCTTTTTATGAAAAAATTACTGCAAGAGTACGAGAACCTGAAGTTATTATTTCTACTGGAAATTATGGAAATCTTTTGACAAAAGTGACTTGGACACGGTGGCGAGATGACATGAACACGCTGGAGAGATGGCATGGACACGCTGGAGGAATAACATAGACTTCCTGTATCACTTAATAGCTTGTTATAAAAAGTTTAAAAGCACAGGTACCTTTCCAAAAGTAGATTTTAAATCACTTCCTGCTATAAGCAATGTAGGATGGAACTGGAGAGCAATTTTTGTTCTACTTGCTTACATTCTAATAGCAGACTATCAAGAATCAAAATCTGCTAATGCAGCAAGCAACTTTGGTATCTGTGGTTCATGGGGTGATATATGGTTTGGCGATCACAACTTCAAGCCTGCAGATTTTGCAACTCTATTAGAAGCATGCAACGAGCATCCAGAAGCATTAAAATTGTTGAAGACTGGTGCACAGAGCCAACATCGATTCCAACACAACAACCAAATATATATGCAGGACGTATGGTAAAAGTGATGCAAAATTTAATTTCTCTATGTCATAGCATTGAAAAACTTAACTTTAAATACTTATTGTCAAATACACTGTAAAAATATTTTAATTATTTATGTTTTATTTCTGTAAAGTACTGGAACATGTGTCGGAAAATTACATTTCATATATTCCATCAATTTTCTTTTTAAATAGGGGGTGAACTTTTCTGAGACAACATAAATGTGTGACGCTTTCTTGATTTTTGCATAAAAGCTCCACTAAATTGAGTATGGGGATACATTGTTGCAAAACTATCATACCCCTAATATATATATATATATATATATATATATATATATATATATATATATATATATATATATATATATATATACATATATATATATACATACATATATATATATATATATATATATATATATATATATATATATATATATATATATACATATATATATATACATACATATATATATATATATATATATATATATATATATATATATATATATATATATATATATATATATATATATATATATATATATATATATATATATATATATATATATATATATATATATATATATATATATATATATATATATATATATATATATATATATATATATATATATATATATATATATACTCATATAGTGTCGCTTTAAGAGCATTTTAATGTAAAAAAAGTCTCTTACGACTACAATTTTAATTACCTCGTCTCTTAAGCTGTTTTTAATTGTCATCGAAATGTCAAAGCAATTAATTTATGCGGAAGTACATTAAATTTAATTGTTTTTTAAAAAATTTTTAAAAAACCGCAATTATAACGACTAGAAAGTTTTTTTTATTTAGTGGTGTTTTTGTTATTGATTTAATAAAAAACATTTTTTAAACATGCGTAAATGTTGCTACATCGACTATCTTATAGCCTGACTCGCAACGGAGTGCTGCTACATCGACTGACAAATAGCCTGACTCGCAACGGAGTGCTGCTACATCGACTGACAAATAGCCTGACTCGCAAGGGAATGCTGCTACATCGACTGACAAATAGCCTGACTCGCAAGGGAGTGCTGCTACAACGACTGACAAATAGCCTGACTCGCAAGAGAGTGCTGCTACATCGACTGAGGGTTTGGTTTGGCCAGGCAGTCTATCAATTAAAAAAAAAAATTTAATTTTTAAAACTTTTTCTGGTCTGGTTTATTAACGCGCTCTTTAAAACTACAGTTTATGGGAAATATTTTTTGATGCTACGCAAGAGACATGCAAGAGTATATATATATATATATATATATATATATATATATATATATATATATATATATATATATATATATATATATATATAAATATATATATATTTATATAATATAATATATATATATATATATATATATATATATATATATATATATATATATATATATATATATATATATATATATATATATATATATATATATTAGTTTATTAGACTTGAGAAAATTTATTATTTGTCAATATTTTTGTTTCCATTTCATTCCTATGTCAGTCCTTAATTGTATTCAAGCATTTTTTTTATTTAAATCTATTTTATTTTTAGTATGAAAGTCACAAAAGACTATCAAGTTTCTATAGAACATTAATTCTTTAGTGAATGGACTGGAGCAGAGATAGCAAAAAGACTTTAAATTCCTTAAAGAACTGTCTATAACAATTTGAAACAATTAAAGGAGGCAGGCAGCGCCCTAGACAAGCCTAGAAGTGGAAGACCACCGACATCAAGTAGCAAAATTATTATTAAAAAAGTGTGTGATAGAATTCATTGAAATTCAAGGAGGTTGATGAAAAAAATGGCAAATGATTTGCAAATAGGTTGTGAATCCCTGAAAAAAATATGCAAGGATAAGCTAAAACTCATCCCATACAAGATCCAAAAAGCTCATCTTCTATCTTCTCACAGATAATATGAAGAAAGTAAGAATGGAAGCTTTTTGTAGTAAGAAAAAGTAAGAATGGAGCTTTTGCTCAAACGTTTTTCTTCGGCGCACCACTAAGGAATTGTTTTCACTGATGAATGTTTATTCAATGTTGAAATTTTCTTAAACCATCAAAATGATCGGATATTGTCCAGAATACCAGTATCAGTGATGCAAACATGAAGGGTAGAATCCCTTTTAGTTCAGGAGATCCACAATCTGTTATGGTTTTTGGAGGGATTACTTCGGATGGCAAAACTCCGTTAGTTTTTGTGGATTAATTAATGGACTTTAGTGAATTAATTAATGGAGTTAAAATTAACAGTCAAAACTATTTAAATGATGTCCTTATAAAAGAAGTATTTCCATAGTCCCAATCACACTTTGGTACAAAGCCCTGGACATTTCAACAGGATTCAGCTCCTGCCCACAAGGCAAAAATCGTTCAAGGGTGGTGCAAAAGAATTTTTCAGATTTTATCAGCGCCCAAGAATGGCCTCCCTACTTGCCAGATCTCAACCCGTTGGATTATTCGAGCACTTCAGAAGGAATTGAATAATCTTTCTCCAGAATACCTGCATGCCACAGTCAATGATTTCCCTAAGAGACTTAGGGCCTGTATTAAAGCCGGTTAAAGACGGTTATTTCGAAATCTAATGTTATAATGTGATTGTTAGTTGTTAGAATAAAATTTATTTTTAATCTTATTCGCCTTTTTTAAATTTAGTCGTTTAATGGCAATTTTACTATGTGCCAGAACTTTCTGGTCACCCTGTATATTGTAATCAGTATTGTTTTCAGCATCCCTTTAATCTGAATAAAGATAGTTAAGGAAGGTTAACCATCATTTTATTATTATCAAAAATGATAAATATTTAATTTAAAGGACATTAACCAATTGCTATAATAAAATAAAAATATGTACTTTTCCACCAATCATGATTGTTCTGGGCACAAAATCCGCATTAGGATTATCCTTCAATCCTAAATATAAATAATAAAATTAATACAACCAATAAAAACAAACAAAAAAAACAACTAGAAAGTTTATTGTAAGAAGATTGTAATTATTATTCAATTATATTAAATATTAAAATAGAAAAACCATAAAATAAAAAGAGAAGTGTGTAGATCTACTTTATCTACTGATAACTAATGCAAAAACAGACACAAGGGTATAAAATATTAGGTACCAGCAACTTTTGGTATTAAGTTTCTTCAAGCTGGAGTAGATAGTTTATAAGAAAATAAAAGATAACTCACAAAAATAAAATAACTCAAAAAAAAAAACAGCAAATAAAAAAACTAGTATGCAATATACTAATATACTAAATGACTTATAAGTAGATATACAAATGATTTATCTACTTAAGGAAAAACTTATGACTTAGACTTTATAAACCAAGTGTCTCAGAACCTTTTTAATGCTTTTTAACTAATTTCTTTAATATCTCAATATGTTTTATAAGTTATTTAAACCTTAAGAAGTGTGTTGCAGATTTATTTTACTTTCTAAATTTTACTATCTAACTTCTAAAACCTCTGCATCTAACATTATATTTTGTATACCTAAAGATTTAGATTAAACAAATTATCATTAAATTTTTTTTTTTTCACTTTGCATTTCCTGAATTGATTTTAAAGAATGATTTATAAAAATCAAGAAACACTTCTGTGGCTAAATAATAAAAAGTGCACTTTAAAAAATCAAAAAAATTCTTACTGTTATACAAAGTAATAATGTGGAGAACATTGAGTAGTTGACGCTTATATTCATGTATACGTTTAACTTGCACATCAAAAATTGAGTTGACATTGACTTTAATGCCAAACTGAGTCAAAATCATGGTAGCCAATGCAATTTTATTTTCCTGGCATAAATTACAAAAAAAGTGAAATAGAAAAGTTGAATACACATTCAAAAACATAAAAAAAAAAAAAATTTTAGTTTTAGTTTTACTTCTTTATTATTTTAATGCTTAGAATTATCATACTTTAAGTCTTGGAAAAATTAAACAAATTGTTATAAATTTTTAACAATTACACGCAAGTTCCAAGTACCTGATTTAAAAAAAAAAAAAAAAAAAAACTCTTTAAAATAATTTTGAAAAAAACAACTCTTATTATTTGAAAACAAATAATTCATTTATAATCTAATTTTTTTTAATTATTATTATTAGTTATTTTTAATTCTCATATATTTAAAAAATACAAGATCACTTAGTAGTATCTTTAGTGTGCATAGTTCCTTAAGTGGTCAAATCCTGTTGAATTAACTATACCATTCATTCATTATTCATTCATTAAGAACTTGTTAAACTTAAACATTAATATTATACATTAACATTGAGTCATTGAAAGTAATAATAATACAATAAATAAAATTTAAAGCACTAATAATGATACCTGCTTTACTCGCTCAAAATCTTTCATAAGCTGTATGTCTGTGTTAAGCTTATTCATGACTTTCAATTGATATAGGTCTGTAATCCAGCTTTCACCAAACCTCTCAGTAATAACATCAGATAAAGCTGGATTACAAAGAAGCAACCACCGACGAGGTGTAATACCATTAGTTTTGTTTTGAAACTTCTCTGGATACATCTCATAAAAATCTTTGAAACTTTAAAAAAAAGTATTTACACATATCTTATACCTTATATGTATGCATGCATATATGCATACAGTTAAATCCTGGTAATTTGAACCTTCATAGAATGAAAGAAAATGTTATGACAAAACAAATATTTCATTAAAGTTAAGTAATACAAATAATTCTGTTTTCAAAAGATCTAAGAACAGCTCCAGGTAACAAAAATTAAAATTATTAGTGTTCAAGTTACCAGGATTAAACTTTCTCTCTCTCTCTCTCTCTCTCTCTCTCTCTCTCTCTATATATATATATATATATATATATATATATATATATATATATATATATATATATATATATATATATATATATATATATATATACTCAACTTTCTACAGGAGCAACTCATATGGCTTGCCATGTTCGTTTTAGGAGAGCTTTTCTCAGCTCTTGCACTCATTTAATCCAGCTGAGGCAAGTATATATATATATATATATATATATATATATATATATACACATAAATATGTAGCAGTATATATATATATATATATATATATATATATATATATATATATATACACATAAAGAGTGGTTTAATTTATATAAAAATTTAAAATTACATATTCTTTTTTAAAATCTCTGAATGCATTGCTGCAACACCATTAATGACATGCGATCCAACAATAGCTAAATGAGCCATATTTATTTTACGAGAATGATCTTCCTCAACCAAAGACATTCTTCTTAGACGATCAATATCACCAGGAAAACGCTTTTTCACACTCTAGAATAAAATTATTATTTCATACCATAATGAATAATCAAATTACAAGTTTCAGCTACAACAGGAATTAAAAACATTATATATATATATATATATATATATATATATATATATATATATATATATATATATACACATATATATGCTTAAGAGGTAGCAACCCTTTAGCTCCTTGTAAGTAGACTATGAGCTGTAACAGTATTTTGGTGAATAATTATAATGCTAGTGCTGGCCAAAGTGTTTGACAAATTTTGAGCACAATAAGATAAAGTGAGTCCAATTACAGTTTGTAAGAGTAAATTCCATCGTCTGATTTGAAGAGAAGCTAAGAGTTATTCGAACAGATGGATGGCCAATTTGTGGGTTATGCCAACAAATATTTTCAAAAAAATGGATTTTGGACAGCAAATAAACTTGAAGTTTACTTGTTGTCCAAAATCAAACAAACTTGAAATTTATTTGTTGTCCAAAATTTGTTGAAATTAAATTACTTTGATTGCATTTTTCATTTAGTGAGGTAAGATGAGAATGTAATAATCTGGCTTTGCTGGATATTCTAAGAAGCAGAATTTCAATGCCGGCGCAGCTGTGAACTTTTCCAAGTTCTTTAACAATGTGTGCAGAAAGAGAATTCCATACAGGAGCAGCATACTTGAGATCTAACCAGCATCCAGACTTGTGTGCTTTTATAGATAAAAGATTCCTTTAGTTGACTGAAGACAGAGTTAACTTTTGATGCTATTATTTTGACACGCATTTCCCATTTAAGGTTGTGTGAAATGCAAATGCCAAGATCAAGTGGAATCGAGAAGCTGCAACCCTTGTTGAGTCAAGATATATAATATAATATAATATATATATTAGGGTAGGTCATAAAGTTTTTTTTTCTTGTTACAGGCTCTAACATTGCTAGAAAGTTGTTTTTTTATGTACTAATTTAGGAAAGTATTTACTTTTATGGATTGAACAATGTCTTTCACCCGCAACTATAATTACAAAAATTAGCAGGCCTTATTATTATTCAAAAAAAAGCTTTTTCATATAAAATTTATTATTTTAGATTTTATTGCATAATAACTATAGTTTTTTAACTAAAAGTGAAAAAGGTGCATTTTTACATGTTTTTTAATAACACTTTTTTTCAGCAATAGGATTTTTATAAAATGATAACACGATAAAACAATAAAACTTAATGATCTTTTGCATTAATTTAATTGTTTTAACTTTTCAACAACAACAAAATGTAGCTTAATTGTTGAAGTCGCGTAACTGTTGTTAAAAGAGACTTTTTTTACCATAAAAGTCTCTTTCGACTACGGTAAAAGGATATATATATTCATACATATTATGTCATGCTGATTATATGCTAACTTAAATTGAAATCTAGCTTTGTTTATTTGGCAAACATATACACAAACATATACACATCAAAATAGAATTTTAAAAAAATCCTTAAAAATTTAAATATTTGATCAGCAAAAACTTACTTCTAGAAAATTATGATTTATAGCATAGATAATAATGAGATGGCGAGGAAGTAGTTTTTCTATGAGATCAACTGGCCATCTTTCTAAAGCTTCTGGAAGCACTGTGTGATTTGTGTAGCCAAATGTTCTCACACATAAATCCCAAGCCTAGAAAAAAAAAAATATTTTTAAATAATAACTTTATCAATGATTAATCAAAAAGATTTTGAAACATTTTTAATTGCATAAAAATAAAAATAAAAGAATTATAAACAACTAATGAAATTACTTGAAATAAAACCAGCAGCAATAAAACAAGTATTTTTTTTTTTGTAAAACAAAATAATTTTAACTGTAAAAACCATCTAAAAACTTAAAAATAAGTGTAAACTTACTGTATCCCAAGGAAGTTTCTCTTCATCCAAAAAAATTCGCATTAGTTCAGGGACAGCAAAAGAAGGATGAGTGTCATTAAGTTGAATAGCTACCTTAAAACAAAATAAAATTTTTACAAACATGAATTTTAAAAAAGCTCTAACAATAAAACTAATAACAAAAATATCTTGACTGTGGTTCGTGATATCTTAAGCCCATAAAACATTAATAATTTTTCATATATCTATATTATATACGAAAAAGAAAAGTAGGGAAAACTGATTTAAAATCAGGCTTTGGTAAAAAAAAAGTTTTTTGTAAGTAAACTTTGTTGTGAGTGTGGAAACAAATAAATAGTGATTGGTCTTAAAAATCATGTGACAAGATGTCATTTAAATTTAAGGTAAAGTGTATAAGTTTTGGTGTAACTAGAGTGTCATATGATGTCCTTTATATAAATATGTACATTTTTTTTTTAATTTTGTTTGGTGATATATATGTTGTATATCTTCGTTCATATTAGTGTTTATAAAATAAATTATTTTTTTTATTTTTCATCATTATTGTAAGTACTGTTGAAGTGCATTGTTTGTCTTATTTATTTTTAAATATTCCTTTATTAATCTTTATTTTTGTCTTGACAACTGTCAAAATATGCATTGTTTGAAAAATAATTCTTCTTTATTCTAATGTACATCATTTATTCCCTCAGGCATTAACTGCTTGTGTGTGATTTTGCGCCGCAGATTCTTTCATGCGCAATGATAATATTTTAACAAAACAAAAAAATAACATTTTAGATAAAAATCACTAATTTAAAAAAATTTTTAAAATATAAATTTATATTTTTTGGTCAAAAATATTTTTTTATCCAAAATCTAATCTGAACCATATAGTAGCTTTCACAAAATGGAGTTGAAGTTTAAAATTCAACTTAGAGAATCAATTTGATCCAATGACTGTTAATAAATAATACCGATTGCATATTAATATTTTATTTGAAGGTCTTTTTTAACTGTTTACATGAAGCTAATTGACTTTCTTTTAAGTCAATATAAACATAAACAAATAAACAAATATTTTAACTAGATTTATCAACTAAAACAATAAATATAATAACAATAACAATAAACAACTATTAACAAGTAATTATAAGATTGAAAAAAATTAATAATAATAGGGAAAACTGAGACGAGTTCCCTCTATTTATACTCTTCAGCTCTGTTGTAGTGATGTGAACGTAAGTTTATTAAAAAAATTACAAGGTACATTTTTTTGCATGTTCCACTATTTGCTGTACCTTTTTACAAGCTTCGCTACTCTCAGGTGCTTAATACAAGGAGGGTGGAAATCTTTTTCCAAATCAAGTGAAGGTGGCTTTTATTTCCACTTTGATATTGTTATTTTATTACAACACATAAATCTTTTACTTCATTTTTTCACAAATCTTTGCTCTGAAACTCCATCAATTTCTATACTAATACGGAAATACAGAAAGAAATGATACTTAATAATATAATATCATTATCGGTGGTATGGTATGTGAGTTATTTAGTTATTTTTATTTTTGTTTGTTTAGTAGATCTACATTAAATATCATATCTTCAAAAAAAATACTGTTGCTTTACAAATAGAAGGATGGTTGGGATTTTGCTATTTGCAGCGAGTCCATTTTTACTGCAGTATAAAATAGCCATAAGTTGCAGGGTAAAACATAAGTGGCGATGATGTTTGTCTGACGGGATAAACTAGTTATTAGTGCTGATCCTCATCAAAACGCCAGTAATAATAACTAAAAGATTCAGTCTAATTTTATGAACAAAATGGGATTTGTTGTTGCTTTCCCTAAAAGTGGTGATTCTGGAACATGAACAAACAGCTGAAACTTATAAACAGCAACAAATACTGATATAATCAATAGACTTTTAGTTTCCAGTGATCCTGTTATTTTATCACTGCGTAAATCAATATCACACTAAATAAATCATGAAGCATTTTCTTCAGATGTTTTACAATTACTTAAACAATTTTTAAACGATGTTATTGTTTTATGATTTTTTAATGTAATTTAAAATTGACAATTTTTCTTGCACTATTTTTTGTTTTTATTACTGCAAAAACATTATTTACCTAAATACTCAAATGTTATTCAATATAGGTAAGTCAAAAATCCGTTAAAATATTCAAATATCAATTTAACACTTTGTAATAAAGGAAAGTATCTGGTAACTAAGCAATATAAGTATCTATTGCAACCAAATTAAAAAAACTATCACTTTTTTAAGAAGTGTGTCTCATATTTGTACTCATGCCAAATTTGAATATAGCGTATAAAATATCTGCAATGCAATAAAAAAATATTACCTTTATAAAAAGTACAGACATCATATAAGTACTCATGCTAACTTTAGTGAATATAGCTCTAATATTAAATTAGTTATGAATTTTTTCCAGTAAAAGTGAATTCTGGCCAACTGTTGAGCGTTGCATTTTTTAAAAAGTAGAGACTTTAAGTAAAGTCTTAAATAAAAAAGGCTTGAAATAAAAAGGCTTTAAAAAATGTAGAGGCTAAAAGTTTTAGTCTCAGGCTTGGGCAGGAATGGCGTGTGATCGCACTCTGTAACTGACCACGCTAATATTTTTATTTCTTTACAACTTGACCACGGCTATTTTGATGTTTTAACAATTTGAATTCGAAAAAAAAAATTTTTTATACGTTATAAATATTTTTTAATCGTTGATCTTTTCTAAAGTTTTTTATTTTACGCTAAAGCTTTAAATAAAACCATAAAATTAGTTATAGTTATTGTTTACATAAACTCTTGTGTAAATTAATAAAAAAAGTTATAAATAAATTTTTTTCATGATAAATATAAACGTTTGAAATTATTTTCTTATGTCTTCCTAAAACATTTTTAAACCATTATTTTTAGAAAGAATTTTTTTAAGTTACTTTAATTTGTAAATAAGTTCAAAAAATCTTTTATAATAATTTTTAAGTTCATTACGCAAAGCGCTTATTAATAAAGTTGTTATGCTCAAATTAAAATGAAATTAAAAAGCTTGTAGGCAGTTTATTTTATTTAAATCGCAGGCGCATTTTAATTTTTTTTTTTTTTTCTATTTTTACAAATAAAAAATTCGAAACCTTTTTTTTAATTAGATAACTAATTATAGCATGAAATTAAAAAGAACACGTTACTTTTTTAAACAATTTTTTTTTGTATTCTTGGTATACGTCACCCAGTGTGTTGTAAAGATAAAACTACATCAAAGGTAAGAATGGTTTTTGATGCAAGCTTCACTTTATCAGGTCCATCATTAAATGATTGCATAAGTGCTGGACCCTTTATTTTTTATATTATTAAGATTTTCGTGCTAATAAGTATGTCTTTATTGCAGATTGAAAAAGCATTCTTGCAGATTGCCCTTGATTAGAATGATAGAGATTATCTACGTCTAATATGGTTCGATGATATTTATAATGTTAATAATAGTAATTTGTTTTTATCTGCATTAGCTACTTATCGTTTATGTCAAGTTCCCTTTGGTGTTACGTTAAATTTATATATATAAATTTTTATATAGGTTTTTAGGAAATACTAATTTCCAAGTATGGAAATTTTTTGATAAAATAAATGTTTATACAATTTAAAAATATAAAACACTTTTAAAGAAATTTAATAAAATTTGTTCTTTTATTAAACCAATCATTAGAAGTAATTTGTTACTTAATTTAAAAAGGTTTTGCTTAACTTTAATAACGCTTAAAAAGATAAGCTTTAATAACATTTATTTCATACGAAATAGTAATTAAAAAAGTAACAAAAAATTTTGCTTCGAGTTTTTTTTCTCATTTTAGTGCTTATATAAGTTATGAATTTGTTTTTTGTTCCTTTTTTCGTTAGGAATTTTTTTTTTGTTAGTTTTTTTTTTTTCCTAGTTTAAGTTTAGCTTAGCGTTTCTACATTCAGATTATTTCTGAAATTTTTAACTCATCAAAACATATAAACATTGTTTATTAAAAAATTGTGGTCAAGTTGTCAAAAAATAAAATCATTTGCGTGGTCAGCAATAGCGCTCGATCGCACGCCATTCCTGTCCAAGTCTGCTTAGTCTCTATTATAGTTTTCAAACAAAGTAGAATAAGAATAAAAAATATTTTTTTGCTAAAATAAATGCTTGAAAAATGAAACTAAATGCCAAATTAAATTCTTGCCTAATTTTAATTTCATAAAATGAAATAAATTGCCTGATGTTTAAGGTGTAAAAAATCATCTATCTAGAGAACCAGTTTAACTATGATGTTTAATTATGATTTAATTTATGATTTAATTTTTGATTAATTATGTTTAACGCATCAAAAAATGGGACATTGAGTTATTTAACACTTTATTTTGATAAATTCACTCAATTTACCTATTGGACATTTTTTTTATAGGAATAAAATAGGGATTTAATTTTCTAGGGACAATTTTAATTTTCTAGGGACCAAAACGAATTATATATCATTTAATTGATAGAGAACAAAATATCTGAAATTTACATATACTAATAAGGCGCTATGATGCAAAGAAAAATGCTAATAAAAAGCTCTATATAGGTCATTCTTAAAAAGTAATAAAAGAAATAAGGATAAAAAATTAATGAGCTGGACAAAACAATTTTGACACCCACTGTAAATTTAAAACAAAAAAATTTATATCCAAATCCCCTTTTTTTTAAATATTTACCTAATTTTAGACTAACAAATAGATTCAGAAAAATTTCATACTTTATCAGGAAACATAGATATATCATAATTCATTTCTGAGGCATGAACACACTCTGCTCTTTTAAAGCGACGAATGATATCCTGTAGCGTTGCTGAAACCATCAAGTATTCTTGTTTTAACCTTAATTCTTTTCCTTCAAACATCTAAATAATGTGTACAAAGAATTTAATTAAAAAGTACAGAGAAAAACAATAATTGTTTACTTTTTCCTGTTTAAAGACCATTAACTGATCATAAAAAACTTTGTAATACACTTTTTATTTCACATATTCATAAATAAATATGCTACAAATTAGCTGAGAAACACTATAAATTAAAAATAGCAAAACAAAATGAACTCATTAAAATAGACAGGTTCCTTTCTAACAACATAATTGTTGAGAAAAGTAATACTTTTTACAATATAAAAAAAATATATATAAGTAATAATAAATAAGAAAAATAATTAAAAAAAAACTAATTGACAAATAAACTTTATTTATTAAATGTTTTTTAGATTTTATTTATTAAATGAAATAAATTATATATACATATATATATACATACACACACACACATTATATATATATATATATATATACACACACACACACACATATATATATATACACACACACACACACAGATATATATATATATATATATATATATATATATATATATATATATATATATATATATATATATATATATATATATATATATATATATATATATATATATATATATATCAGCTTATTATTACTTTACTATTATATTATATTTAATATGATATCAATAAATTTTAACTTTTGATATTTTTAGAACAATTCATAAAAAAAAAAACATACATTGTCATTAGGATATAAAACTCTTGTTATATTTTCTGCTTCATTTCTGTCTAGGACAGCAGCAATATAATCTCCTTTTTGAACTAAATAAGTAAACAATTTTATTTATTTCCAAACATGTAACAATGCAACTAATAAAAAACTTTAGAAAATATGAATTAATAAAAAAAAATTCAAACTTAAAAAATTTAGAAGACATACAGTAATTCAAATCAAAATCTTTTGACGACTTTGCAGACCAAAACCGCATTGTGTTACAAACTGTATCCTTTCCGTACCCAGGCACTGGTATATCATAAGCAATAGCATTGACAACTTTAGTGTCATGCCAAGTGTATTGAAAACCATCTTTATCACAACTTACTTTACCATAAAAATGAACAGGAAGAGAATATTCAGCACGCGAATGTTCCCAATGATTACCAAATCGTAACCAATCATCAGGAATTTCAATCTAAAATATATATAATTAATTAAAACAATTAGAAATGATCAGAGATGCGGAATCGGAGTCCAGAGTCTGGAATCCTGGAGTTCCATTTTTTGCCAGGAGTCTGGAGTCTTGGGAGTCCAGGAAGATTATAAATCTCTGGAACCTGGGAAATTTTTTTTTTAATCATAAGGTGTTTCAAGAAGAACAAACAGTCTTGTCACAGAGCACCACATGAGAATATTTAACAAAAAAGCTTACATCTGCTTGTCTACTTGTTTTAAATCTTGTTTATTTGACCAGGTTTGGCATTGATTTGGATTTGACTTGCTAATATGCAGATAATTTTGAAATCATTATAAAAGTTTAACCTATTCAAAAAAATTTTTATTGACTTTATTTCTAAAAAGTGACACACAAAATGACACTCTTCAATGCTTGGTAAGAAAATTTAATAATCTTTAAAAAGTACCATTTTATGTAATAATAGTTGTAATAACAGTTTTTTTTTTGTAATAACAGTTGTAATAACAGTTGCAGATTTAAATCTGCAGTTTGCTAGAGAAACTACAAAATTAAATTTCCTTACATAAAAGTTATTACAGATGGTAGCCATGCTAACCCTTGATAAGATAGCGGAAAAAAATTTTTTGAAAGAAGATTAAATCAGTTTTTTATTATTATATAAAGGGTCTTCCATAAAGTATGCGCAAAGTATGGAGGATGAGTATACAAGGTAGGAGAAATAGAAAGAAAGCAAGTACACACGCGGTGTCTCTCAATCTTTATCTCTTCTGAAACTTGATTTCTTATTTATTTATTTTTAAAAAAACATGAGTTTTAAAAATCAATATAATATTATGTAACAGATATTTCAAATTAACTAAAAGTTTTTTTTATTTTCAATGCTTTGAAAAATTTATGGATTGGGGAGGAGGTTAATTTTGTAATAAATAATGCCTACATATACAGCTGGGAGGGGTTGTTGAAAGCATACAGTTAAGTACAAGGGGGAGGGGTCCTAAATCACTGGTTTTACCGTGAACATACTTTATGGATCCCTAATAGATGGCCCCCTAAGTGAGAGGCATCTATTAAGTACAAAAATTGATAACAAAAATTGTTCAACATTTTCTAAACCAAAAATATATTATTATGGAAAATTATGTTTCATGTCACTCTGCTATTACAATGCCAAATATTTTTTTTTTAATGCCTAATAAAACCGTTGTAACAGTTTAGGTATGCAAAACTGCTTTTTAACTAACAAATTAACTATAAGCAAAAAAAACTCCATTACCAAAATAAAAAAATAAGTTAATAAATATAAAATTTGTCGTTAAGTTTGCATTACAAAGTTAAACTAACAAGTCTAGCTAGTAAATAATAAACAAACAAAAAATATAAAAAGCTTATAAAAATACTTCAACAAGCAAACAAAAATTGCTTGCACAACAATTTTTATAACTTGCACATATTTTTAATGAGTGTCTTTAACATATAACAATGTAAACATCTTAATTAAGTGTGGCAAGTAACAGTAATTTATAAATGTTTTGCACCATAGGAAATAACTTGCACATATTTTAAAAATTTAACCCATTAAAAGCATTTCTTAAAACTTCAAGGAGTGCCTCCATGAAGTTTTAAGAAATGCCTGCTTTGCCATTGCCCATACCCCAAGTAAGTATTGCCAACTGTTTTCCATTTTAGAGCACATGATCCCAGACCATCACAGTTTCATTACACCTAAGCTAACTGATGAATGATGTTTTGAATGCTATATAGTTTTTTGATAAAGTATATATTATATTCATTTTTTCTTATAACTTTATAATTTAACTTGTAGTTAAAAAAGCTACTGTAAAAACAAATGTATGGATCATAAGCTAAACTAAATAATCTGGAACTAAATCTTTTTATTATGCTTTTGTTTTAGAAGTCTTTTAAGTTTTTATAAGAACTTTTGATGATCCTTTTGTCAAGAATGTCCAAGAATTGGTCTTGAATTAATGCATAAAATAATACAACTTTACTTTTCACTTTGAAAATTTTTTGTCTGTGAATAAAATAATTATAAAAACTGGTGCATCTGAAAGAGTTATTTCACAAATTTGTGTGTGGGTGTTAAACAACAAATCCATTCATGAACTAATTAATGCCGGTTGAGTCAACTGGGAAGTATCTAATGTTGTCTTACGCGCAAATCCAGTTACAGAATAAATTTGGGATTAATAAAATACTTTTAACAAAGCTGTTATTCTAATCAAAATATAATACTTGCTAGTTTAACAATTTGCTATAAAAGAGTTGACACGTGAAATGTACAGTTTCTTCAATATTATTTTTCTTCTGAATTCTTTTATTCTCATTAATTTTTATTACCCACTTAGTATCAATGTTAAGATAATCAGTTACCAAGTGTTTGAGTCTTGAAACATTTAACATCAAAAATAAATTCTCAAAATGATTAAGCTTGAAAAAAAAGTGTTTCATTGGTTGATGAACTTTACACTGATGTTGCATTATTATATCAGTCTGAATTTTAAATGAGAGTTTTGCCAGTTGATATTTTAACTAGAACAACGTACATTAATTGTAGACACCAAAGTTCTTTATGCAGTAAATTAATTGGAACTATAAGATATGAAAATAAGTAGATCTAAATTATGTTAAAAATGATAAAAGAGCATTAGAGTAAATGAAAATAAAAGAAACTCTCTTTTAAAACATGGCAAACAAGTTACTAACTAGAAAAGTAAAGACTTGGCCAAAAAAATTAATTAGCATAAGTTATTGCTTTATACCAGTTTTTTTTTTAAATATTGCCAACAATGTTTAAGACATCAAACTTATTTAATGCATTTTCAAACACATTAAATTTATTTTATAAAGATTATATTAAAAAACTAATGAAAACAATATTTTAAATAAAAAAGTTTAGTATTTTAAACAAAGCTTTCTTAGAACATATTGCTTTGAAATATCATCATTTAAAAAGTTGTTTCAGTTATTTAAAGAGTTACCAGAGAAACATTATAGAAAGATATCATAATAAATATCATAAAAAATATGCAGTTATAATTTATTTTAAATTATTCGATACCATTATAGAAATTTTTTTCTTTTTTTATATTTACAATATAAGCGTTAAAATTTTTTTTCTAATAATATCTAATATTACTGAAAATTTATTGAAAATATTGAAAATATCTTTATATTATAAATACTTATTGAAATATTGAAAATATCTTTATATTATAAATACTTTACACAATTAGAGATTAGGCAAGTATCAAACAAATTACACTTCGAACAAAAACACACAAAAAACAATATATTTTAAAATTTTGTATATATCAAATATATATAAACATTCCTGCTAAATTTTATAACTTGCAATATAAAATCTTCCAAAGTGATTTTATGTATCTAGTTGCTTGTGCTAACTGAATTAGGGAAGCAGAGGTGTTAGTGCAAGCTATAGCTCACTACTTTGACTAAGACTTATGGTGGATATATTTTTAGGACTATATACATTAGTCATCATTGTCAATGTTTAATGGCTGACAGGAAATTATAGTAGTTATTATTGTAAAGAAATTAGTAACATAAAAATCAATTAGTAAAATTATTTTGATTGTTTGAAACTTTAAGAAATCTCAAACTAATATGTCTAAGTATTTTGTAAGTATTTAATAAAGAAACATTGCAGCCTATAAAAAGTAGAGAAGCTTTACAAGTTGCAATCAAATCTTTAGGCAACCTTAATTTAAAAAACTGTGTGCAGCAAAAGTAAAAAGAACTAATTCAGCATCTGGTAAACAAATCAAACAGCTATGATACTAGTAATGCACTTTTACATACTTGTTGTAGTTTAATTGATTTGTTTTGCTTTTATCAAACAGAAACAAAATTTTATTTTAAGTTTTGTTTTTCTATAACCCTATGAAAAAAAATGCTTTTTTGATAAACATTAAATCAGTTTTTGAAAAAGTATATGTTCAACATGCTAAACTTGTTTTAAAATTAAATATAGGCATAGAATGAAATAATGGTAAATGTGTAGTAATAGTACACTCACTATACAACCTAGAGAAACAATTTTTTAACACACAATCACATAACCATTTTTTGTGGCATAATCATTCATAATTCACCTATAAATTGACCAAACTTACATACTCGAACTTTTAATTATATAAATGTTTATGTTAAAAATTTTTACCTGTTCTCCATGAGAAATCTTTTGCTTAAATAAACCATAATCATATCTTAATCCGTATCCATAAGCAGGTATTCCTAGTGTTGCCATTGAATCCATAAAGCATGCTGCCAACCTCCCAAGACCACCATTTCCCAAGCCAGCATCTTCTTCTTGATTTTCTAGTTCTTCTAATTCCAAACCAAGCTAAAAAAGGTTGTTCTTTTTTTTAAATAAAATTTAGAAAAAACTTAAAACTCTTTATTGTAATGCTGTTAAAAAACTAACAACCTTCTCGAGTAATGTTGTTTAAAAACTAACAACCTTCTAGAGTGATGTTGTTAAAAAACTAAAAGCATTACTTGAAAAGGTTGTTTTGTTTTTTTTGTTTCATTTTTTATGTAAAAATTATATAAGATTCTACAACTAATGGTAAAAAAAAGCATTTTTTATATTTCAAAAAGTACACAACTAAATAAATCTGACCTAAATCAAATCGTATAGTATAAAACATTAAAAATAAAAGTTCAAAGTCATTGACAAAAACAATAAAATTTAATAAAATTTTTAAATAATGTCAAATATATATTACGTTATTAATTTAATTAAAACTTTAAAATAAAATTTTAAGACATGATTGAAATGAGTTAAATATTAACATTTGAAGAGAAAAACCTAACCGGTTTCAACTAATCACATCTTTTTATGAAAATAATCTAATCTTTGTATTAATCTAATTAATTAATCTTTTTATTAAAATAAAATAAATTTTTGTCACTAAACAAAAATTTTTTTTATGAAAATAAGTTGTTTTTTCATTCAAATTACAGAAGCATTATGTAAGCATAATAAAGTATAATTTACTCTAAATATATTATAAGCAAAATACTTTATGTTTTTAAATTTGTATTTACAGATATCTAAGTTATTATTAGTTATGCCTAATAACAATTTAAAGTTATAATATATAAGTAAATAATAACAATAAAAACCATATTAACAAAATGTTAAAATTTTAATCTTTAATAACAATTTTACCTGATACATAGCTTCATCACATTCATTAAATATCCCTAAATTGGTCATCATGTTTGTTAAACTTCTTCCAAGATAGTATTCAAGAGACAAGTAATAGACACGCTAAAAAATAATCTACTTTTTTAATGTTTCATTAAGCTTGCCAAAATAAATATATTAGGAGTATTTTTTGTCGGTAAATTTTATTGCATGAAATCAAAAATATGAAGTTAATGAAAAAGTTCATTCATTGTATCAATAAAAATTGTTTAAAATAAACTTGATAGATGAATAGTAATAATAGATAAATAGAAAAAATCTATTTAAAAAACCATCGAAAATTTATTCAAAAAAAAAAAAAAAAAAAAAAACTTTTTTATATTATGTTAAAAAACAATAGTTTTATGATTATTTTCAAAACTTTTATAACTTTGATTTTTTCAAAAATTTCTCAAAAATTAGTTAAAATAAATTTGAAGGTATCAAAGTGCTATAACAGGCCTTGCTATGAGATTTTATTGTGTAACAAAAATGCATTACACTAATAAATCTAACTTTAACACAGCTTTACATTGTTGAAAGTTAAATTGTATTAATATATCTTAAAGTACATTGAAATTAAATTTTATTTTAAACCAAGTTAAAAAATCTTTCAAACTAATTTAATAAAAATTACTGATTTCGGTATTTGAAAAAAGATTATATTTCCTTATAATAATTTATTTCTTAAAACAATCTTATTCTTAACTATTTCTATTTATAAAATGAATTAAAATATTAAAGTTTAGATCATAATTTTTAATAATAATAAAATAGTAAAAAAATTTATTTTTTCAATTATCTACCTCATCAAGGCCAAGAAGGTTACTACAGTCAAGGAGGCTACTATTTGTGGTTACAACCCTCTCTCAACTCTATACCTCCAAAACACAAGCCTTAACAAACAAGGCCACTGCGTGGAGAAACAAGTTGAGCATGGTACTACCAGGATCAAACTCGGAACATCTCGCTTATGAGGTGAGATAATAGTAATAAATGGTTTTATTATAAGATTTTATTTCATAATTCAAGATAAATATAAATATTTTTTATTGAATAACAGCTTTTAGTTTATTGATAAAAACAGAGTATTTAAAAATGCTAAAAATTTAAAAACTGGAATACATTTTCAGATATTACAATTTGGGATCACTTAATTTAAGCCCTTATTAATTCAATATCATATAAAGACACAATAATGAATTAATAAGAAACTAAAAAATATAAATACATTTGTGGAAAGAGTTTTTTTTAAATAAAAAACACTTTTAAAAAAAAAAATAATAAAGATTTTTATTTGCTTTCACATGTTTTTATCTATGATGAAGAGATTTATGTTTTACATAATGAATTAGTTAACAAGAAAAAAACTTCTTTAATAAATATTGAAAAACTATTTTACATGCCTCAGAAATTAAATTTTACATTTCACGTTTTACTAACTATTTTACAATTCTTAAAAACTAAATTAAAATTTTTAAAATCATATTTAGTTTAAAGTCTATTAGAAAAAATTATATTTAAAATAATCAGTTGGGGTTAAATGCTTTGTTTTACGATATTTATTTTTTACAAAATTAAAATATTTTCTGAATAAACATCATAAAGATAATTTGAATATAACAGAATAAAAACATTTTTGTTTAATGTAAAACTGCTGAAGGAGTACGCAAATCACTGTTTTGTAAGTAAAATGTCAGCTGCATAACGCTTCTTAACAAGGCCTGCTATAATAAGTTCTTAATAGTTAAAATGAATATATTTTTTAATAGAAAGATTACTCTTGTTTAACTGTAATAGAAACCAAAATACTTATTCAAAATAAAATAACGAAACTAACGAAAAAACAAACGAAGAAAAATTCTTTACAATAAAGAAATTTTATAAGCACTAAAATAAAAATAAAAACAAAAACTTAAATTCAAAGCGAAACTTTTTGTTATGCTTTTAATTACGTTTGAAACAAATCTTTGTAAACATTTTATTAAAGTTACGCAAAACCCTTTTAAATTAAGTAACTAATTATTACAAACAATTGTTTAATAAATGAACAAATTTTATCTAATTTATCAAAAAGTGTTGTATATAGTATTTTTAAATTGTACAAACATTTTATCAAAAAAGTTGCACAAAAAAAAATTGTTAAAAAAAATAACAGTCTTTTTAAAATTTTTAATAATTTCATGCTCTAATTAATGTCTAGTTAAAAAAAACTTTTTTATTCGTAAAAACAGGAAAAAAATAAATAAATAAAATGCACATGCGATTTAAAATATACTACCAACAAGCAATTTAATTAAATTTTAATTTGAGCATTAGAACTTTATAAATAAGCGTTTCACGAAACGAATTTAAAAATATTATAATAAAAGATTTCAACTCATTCCTATAGTAATTAGGGAAAAAATTTTTTTTTAATAAAATGTTTGTTTAAAAGATTTAAAAAAATTTGTTAAAAACATTAAAAAACATTAAAAAAAGTTTAATTATAAAAATTAATTGTATGAACATTACAAAATGCTTTAAAACTTTTCCATTAATCAACAAAATATGTATTTTACTTATAAGTAAATAAAGTTATTTTATATTCTTGTACATAAAATTTGTAAAAGCTAGTAGTCGCAAAAGGTTTTGAATTTATTCATAAATTAAAGAAACTTTAAAAAATTATTTTTAAAAGTAATGCTTTAAAAGATTTTTGGGAAGACATAATAGACAAATAGTTTCAAACGTTTAAATTTATCATTAAAAATATATGCACACATAAAAAGAATTTATATATAACATTTTTTATTAATTTAGACATGAGTTTATGTAAAATTTATTATATGATTTTATTTAAAGCCTTCGCATAAAATAAAAACTTTAGAAAAAATCATCGATTAAAAGTTATTCATAACATAACACTTTTTTTATTGCATTTAATTTGTTAAAACATCAAAATATATGCGCATTTATTTATTCTTATATGCATATTTATTCATTCTTATATAGGGTTTCTGAACACTGTTTAACAGTAACAGCAAAACAGCTGGTTTTTTACGAAAAAACAAAAACAGCAAACAGCTGTTTTTTAAATTACTTTTTTTACTGTTTTTTAAATTGAAGTTAAAGCGACAAGAATTAAAAACTGGAACTTTTTTTATGCATTCGCATAATGATTAAATTCTATTTCAATATTATAATGAGTTTTAACTGCATAAAGTTTCATTCAAACCTGAAAATGTTTAAATTTTTTTATTCGAACACTTTCAGATAAAACTTTAATTATTTATATTTTAAAAATAAACAATTGCAAAGAGAAAAATTTATTTATTAACAATATAAAAACCTGTTTATTAAAGCAATTTGAATGGTAATTTAATTTGATTTATTTTTCAATAACAATTTAATAAATAGTTCAAAATATAGGATAAGTAACTTTAATAAATGACTGTAATGAAACTTTTGCACGAAGATTTAGATGAAAAGCAAAAAAAAGAAAGATTGACACCATAAAATTAAAAATAGTCAATAAAGTGAAGTTTAGCATGACTGTCAATGAGGTTACTACTTTAAAAGGATGAAGATATTTTGGAGTTGATATTTATGTTAAAACTGACAATATCACATATAAAACAAGATTAATTTGAATTTTGGGTTCATGCAGTGCGCTTGATATGGTTGAAATAATGAAACAACATCTAAATGTGTTTGGAATATCAATGGAAAAAGATTTGGTTGCATCTACTCAGGATGGAGCATCTGTTAACAAGAAGTATATTCAAATTTTAGATGTTATTGGTCAATTTTGTCTTAATCATGGTATACATCTTGAAGTATGTGACACACTTTATATGAAAAAACATCATAATGAAGATTTAAGCAACCTCTATGATGATGATAACAATGAAAATGATTCTTTTGACAAAAGCACCAATTTTGAATTTATAAATGATTGCGAAGATTATATTGACTACAATAATTTACTTAATAACTCACGCCAACTGATAAAATCCATCAAACTATTAAGTGTTTAAAATTAGGTTTTTCAATCAAAAGTCAAGGCTCTACTTGGAAAAGCAATTGAACTTAATCTCGATGTAAAAACTTTTTTTGTTGGAATACAATACCAATAGAAACTTTTTAGAATTTAAGGCAGATATAAATTTAGCCAATAATGTAGACTTCAATGCCTTGAAAGGTTTACTAGAGGCAATGAAACCCATTAAACTTGCTATAGAAAATCTTAGTAGAGAAGATGCAACTCTGTTGAGTACTGACACAATTTTAGAACTTATGTTTGAGAAAATTTCTTTAGTTAACAGTGAAATTAGCAAAAAATTGATGGATAATTTGAGAATTAGAGTTGATGAACGCCTGAATACAGATGTCATGAATTTATTACACTGTCTAAAGAACTCTACAGTAACCCCCTCCAGAGATACGATAACTTTTGCCGGAATGTTGGCATCTCGACATTTTTGGTGCTCATGACATTAATATTATTGAAACAACTTCCATCAGATAAAATTTTAACTCTACAAGATGATTTAAATGTGTTGCTGAAGAAAAATTGTTCACCAATAGTGCCTTTTTGACAGGACAATTTCAGGTGGTTAAAAGCTGAATTTACTCTTTTTAAGATTACAGGCCACCATACAGAAAACTTACAAATGCTTTGTGATGTATTTTTTTAACAATTAAGCCCACATCTACGGATGTTAAAAGAGTATTCTCCGTGTGTGCCAACTTTTGTATAAGTCATTATCAGCTCTTGTATTTTTGAAATACTATTATAAAATGTTAAGTTTATGTTAGGATATATATTATTGGAAAAAATTTTACTCTAGCCTGCTTAATACAAGGAGGGCGGGTGTTGGTAATAAAGGAGGGGGGTGCAAATTTTAAAAACAGTAAAACAGCTGTTTTTGAAAATTATAAAACAGTAAAACAGCTGTTTTTTAAAAACCACTGTTTTTCAGAAACCCTATTCTTATATACGCATTTATACTTTTTAAATTTTTTAATTAATTTTTATTTATTTTTTTAAATTTCATTTAAGTGCTATAAAAAGCCCTTACGGTTCACAGAGCACCACGGATGAACATTTAATAGCAAGTTCACACCTCCTTTCTAATGTGGCTGTAAAATGGAATTAAGTTATTGCTTGTGTACAAAGATTGCTTTCTTGTACATAAAATTCAATATCTTTTATTTTGTCTATAGGACTTGAATGTAGTCATGTCGTCAAATTTATCGACAAAATTTTGAACTTATCGACAAAACTTATCAACAAGATTTTGAACTGTGTGCATAGATAAGTTAAGAGAAGTGGAAATGCTTGTTACAGATTCATTTCTTTCAACTAAACTTTTGTAATACTTTTCATTGTTTTACGATTGGCACTGCTATTTTCTCTTTCATTCATAGGGTAAATATTTGAGTATTAATAATAATTTATAAATAATTAAATTTAAATCTAGATAAATGAATATTTAGATAACAACTTAATCAATAAATAAATTTAATATTAAAATTACACAATTAAATTAATGATCACTGAATGTAAAAAGTATTCGTCTTAAGTATTTTTAACCTCATTTACCAGAAAACAAGAACAATTTGTTTTGAAAAAACTGTTTTAAACAAGAAAAAAACTTTTTTTATTTTTAAATTAAATTATAAAATTTTAAATTAAAAACTTTTTTAATTTTTAAAACATACTTATAAACAGGGAGAAATCCTTGAAATACGGATGGAGTTATCAGGAAACTTAAAAATATTATGGATACTACAGGGTAATTCTATATGAAATCATCAAAAAAAAATTATTTTCATAATTAAAATTTGTTCATATTTACCTCAATTGCAGTCCATATTTAAAAAAATAATAATTACAAAAATTTTAGTTAAAAATACACATGGGTTCCAGAGATAATGTCAGTTGAACATATAGTATCTTTATAATGGCTTAGAGAAATTTCCTAAAATTAGGTACCCTAATAGATTTTTACTTGAGGAATCCAAAAATAGCATCCTAAAAACTCAATTGTCTCAGGAAATGTTTTATCCAATTTTGTTCAAAATTATTGACTTGTAAATTCGTAATTTTTGGAGGTAAAAGACTGTGGCCCAAAATCCCAAGTAAAAAGTTTAATTCTATATCATTATTTTATCTTATGTCTACTGAAAAAAATCAGATTCATCAATTGTCTCTCTAATACTTAATCACAATTTGCGTTTAAAAATTGTGTTTTTTTAGAAAAATTTTGTAATGAAAGCAATTGAGATGTTTTTTAAAACATTTATTTAAATAAAACATCAAATAGTGTTATTTATTGACTAGTTTAGGACATTTGTATTCATAGTCCAAGGGAGGGCCAAGGGGCCTCTGACCAACTCTTCCCCCTTTTAACCTCCAAAAATCATGAACTCACAAGTCAAAAATTTTGAACAAAATTGGATAAATAAGGCATTTCCTGAAACAATTGAGTTTTAAGGATGCTATTTTTTAATTTCTTATGTAAAAATCTATTAGGGTACTAAATTTTCTCCTAGTCATTATGAAGATACTTAATTTCAAAGTATCTTTATAGTTGCTCCAGATAATCACTAAAATGCCCTATTTCAGCCCTATTTCAGCGCTGACTCATTTTAGTGATTATCTGGAGCATTTTAGTGACAATATCTCTGGAACCCATTTGTATTTTTAACTAAAAGTTATTATTTTTTTAATATGGACTGCAAGTGAGGCAAATATGAACAAATTCTGAGACACAAGGGTGTCATGGTCTGGATGATTTAATATGGAATGACCCTACAGATTTCCACTTAATTTCATTTTACAACCATATGCGTTGTTACATAAGTCCAGCGCTGGCTCGGCAACCATTTTTTAAATAAATAGCAGTGGAAACAACCTAATTTATATTTTAAATAAATCTATATAAAAATTAAAAAGCCTATTTATTGTTTATATAAAATTATATTAAAGATTTTACAGGTGGTAGACTCGTATATAAATGTGCATATAAGAATAAATAAACATGCATATAAGAATGAATAAACGTGCATATAAGAATGAATAAATGTACAATTAAGAATGAATAAATGCGCATAAAAGAATGAATAAATGTGCATATAAGAATGAATAAATGTACAATTAAGAATGAATAAATGCACATAAAAGAATGAATAAATGTGCATATAAGAATGAATAAATGGGCATATAAGAATGAATAAATGTGCATACAAGAATGAATAAACACGCATATAAAATGAATAGATGCGCATATAAAAATGTATAACCCTGTAAGATTTCAGGACTCCAGGGTTTTTTTAATTTTATACCAGCATTTAAAGGGATCCCAAACTCCCAACACATGTTGTGTTCATATTAAAGATAATGTTGTTTTTGCCGAAGCTCATCTTCTCCATTTTTTTCAACTAATCGGAGTCTTTAAATTATGCGTCGCAATCTACAGACTTTGGCAATTCCTTTGAAGCGCGTTTAATTCATAAAAGTTTTAGTATTTGACGTCAAGGTAGACTTTTAACAAAAGAAAAGTGTAATTAAACTAAGCTGCGTTTTTCTACTGTAGTATTTTTTTAACATACAGCAAAACAAATTTATTTGTATTATTTTTCTAAACATCGCAAAAAAAAATTTGTAAAAAGAAAAAATGATAAATTATTTTTATTTTATAGGAGCAACTTGTTTTTTACAGATATCTTAATAATTATTCGATTTATATATCTTACTTATATTTATTTTGTTTTTAAATTAAAACAAATATTAAAGCTTTACTTACCAATCTTATGATTTTCTTACAAGTATTTTACATTATATAGAACATTATATAAACGGTCTCTCGTTTTTGTGCAAGAGAGCGCAGTATTATATATTCTAAATCTTACAATCAAAACTATTTTCTAACTTCTCTGGTCATTTTTAGGCTATGAAGTTTTTTGTTTTTCCGTCGAAAAAAAGTAATTACAAGCAATTGCTTTCATTTAATTAGAGATATTTGATGAACTGTTAAATTTTTTTATTATAAAAATTTTTTGATTACGCTGATTACACAATATCGCATATTGATTACACAATATCGCATATTGATTACACAATATCGCATATTGATTACACAATATCGCATATTGATTACACAATATCGCATAATTTTAGGGGCTTCTTATTTATTTCTAAGTCGTTCTAAATAATAAGTAAATATAGTTAAAGTTCATATTTTAATAATTACAGTTGCAATATAACAAAAAAAAAAAGTTCAATGTTGAACTTTTTATTTAGTTATTTATTTTTTACCTACTTTTGTTATAAAAAGACTTTAGTACCCCCGTCATTTAAATAATTTGTTTTGAATATATTTCCACGTGATTATTCAAATAAATTTTTTTCGTTTGACTTCCCCAAGCAAATTGAGACAAAATATCGTCTAACCAAATAAAAATGCTGTTACTAATTTTATACGGGTAATTAATGTAAAACATTTATTTATCAGAGTCTTATAATTGAGATAATAATTTTATACGGGTAATTAATGTAAAACATTTTTTTATCAGAGTCTTGATTGAGATAATAAATATTCATAATTTATAAACATTAAATATATGGCGCAATAACAATTTATAGCAACGAACCAGCATAAAAGATTTAAGGTTTTTAATATCTTTTTAAATATTAAAAGTAGAAAAAAAAAAAAAACTAAACAAATAACCAGTGGCGGAACTTCAAAATTTGGGCCCCCCCGCAAAAAAATGTTTTTTTTGCGGAAAAGAGTTTTATAGTATAAATATTATTGAGAGTATAACTTTTTTTATATGAGGGCCCCCTATAGCTGGTAGGCCCCCCCCGCAACGCAGGGTCCTGCGTCCAGTAGTTCCGCCACTGCAAATAACCAAAAAAACTTCGACTAAAAATAAATAAAAATATTTCCAGAGTTTCTTTTGTTAAAAGTCTACCGTGACGTCAAATACTAAAACTTTTATGCATTAAACGCGCTTCAAAGGAATTGCCAAAGTCTGTAGATTGCGACGCATAATTTGAAGACTCCGATTAGTTGAAAAAAATGGAGAAGACGAGCTTCGGCAAAAACAACAACATTTGTTTTTCTCGGTATGAATTCATTATTTATTTTTAATCAAAAAAAATTGGTTTAAACCTTTTTTTTTAACATTATCTTTAATATGAACACAACATGTGTTGGGAGTTTGGGATCCCTTTAAATGCATACTAACTAACTCTTATTAACTTCTATAATTTTATTTATTTTAATTTGTTCAGCCAACAGTTATGTAACTTTATACCAGTAAAAGCAAGAAGGCATTGAATTACACTGCTTATTGCAAGCCTTTCGACATATAAATTAATAAAAAGTATGTTTAGCATCATTATTGCATACATTAATACAATAAAAAATAAGATAAAAACAATAATTTTTATTTATTCTAACAAATAATTTATTTACTAGTCAAGAAGCAAACATCATAATAGCAGAGCTAATTAAGACAATTTTGCTTCATACTAAAGTACTACTCATACGCTGAGTAGGTGAAGCCAGGATTTGAAATTGCAATCCTGCTGCTGTGGCCAATAATAATTCCAAACTTTAGTAGCACTCTAACCAAATGAGCTACCCCAGCTCTAAATCACTTGTAGCATACATTGCTTTTAAAGAATATGATTTGAATCAAAGCATATGCAGTGTAAAAAGCCTTTAGTGTACACTAATAGTTAGATCATGAACTATGCTTAGGCTAGGATTTTCATTGGCTTTTCCAACGAACACAATCAAAATTTTAATTTTTGTAAGTTTAGTGCTTCTCTTTCCTGCGTAAATTCTGGGATAATGGCAATCCTAGTTTAGACACAAATATTTGCACATTTAAACCTGCCTTCCATAAAAATATATTTCATAAAGGCAAGAAAGAAACTACTTCTATATTAATAATTTATATAATTGTATATAATATTTAATACTATGTATATGAATATTATATATAAATATAATATTTATATACATATCATAAAGTAAGCTTTTACCTTTGGGTCTTGTTTATAGTATTCTTGTTGTGTCTTGATCCATCTGCTACAAAGTTGATCTCTTACAGTATGTACAAGAGCTTGGTAGTAATCAAAATTATTAGCAACATTTCTGTCTTTTACAACAGTGTAATGAATATGACGATTAAATGCTTGTTTTATATGCTTTACTGTTTCTAAAGTTGGAATTCTGCCAACAGAAATCTGTCGTCTTTTTTCACAATCGCTTTGAGGCTTTTCACCCATTTACTATCTAAATTATCTTTTTTTTTTTAATAAAATTTATAATTATACATTTTCCAATTATAAAAAATGTAATACACACCTTTGCCTTGAATATTTCTATAAATATTATGGTATGGAATATATATATATATATATATATATATATATATATATATATATATATATATATATATATATATATATATATATATATATATATATAAAAGAAATTATATTTCATGAATATAAAAGCTTAGGTAAAATTAACAAAATAAAAAAATTAGGTCTCGCCTAAAAACTCTCTACCTGCATATATATATATATATATATATATATATATATATATATATATATATATATATATATATATAATATATATATATATATATATATATATATATATATATATATATATATATATATATATATATATATATATATATATATATATATATATAAGATAATTAATATTGAAATTACTATTATTTATATTAAAAAAAATAGAGTAAAACATTGATATATTAATGCTAAGTTAAGCAAAAGATTTTTGATTTAAATAATAGCAACATGATAGTTTTTAATTGTCTAATTTAACCTTTTTGTGGAAATTATAAACTAAACATTCATGGTAAGTAAAACTGCTTACTTAGCAATCTAAATTTTTACGTAAAGCTATAAAAAAAAACGCCTGTTTAAAAATTTCTACACATTTATACATGAATCTTCAAACATATTTTAAACTGCTTAGTTGCATAAGCGTATAATACATAAATGCATAAACAAACGTCTTCTTTTTATAACAAAGGCGTTTCGTAAAGATATTTGCTACCGACCAACAAGATCACGGCACTACTGACGCAAAACAATCTCAAAAGAATAATAATTTTTAATGGAAATAATGACGTTCTTAAACGAATAGGTTGCATAGTTTATCACATTAATATTTTAAATCATGACATTATTGCTTCACTTAAAGTTAATTATTACCACTTTTTTTCTAAAAAATCTAAACAAAGATAATAAATTATAAAAAAAAAGGAGTAATAATATATAATAATTAGTGGAGTGGGATTTTAAGTTTAATAGCGTCTGTGCATATTTAAGACCAATTTTATTTCTGTAATTTTATTTCTGTAATTTATTTCTGTAATTTTATTTCTGCAATTTATAACCTATGGAATTTAACTAATTACACCATATTGGATAAAACTTTTAGGTGGTTAAATCACTCTTAAATTTATGTCATAAGTTATGACACGGAACAAGAAAAATTCAAAGAAAATTTGAGACACTTTTTTTTAAATTTGGTTAGATTAGTTTTTGTTTATTTTTACACCAATATTTAAACCAAATGTTTTCGATTTAAACAATCTTCTTCCTAATTTAGGGAGTTTTAATGTTTCATGATCACCACTTAAAAACCGTGACAATTTTTGATGAAACTTGAGTTATTTTGATGAACTTTGATTAAATACTTGTAACATCTTAATCAAACATTTTAAATAGTTTTTAGCATAATTTACGAAAGTCTAAAATTATTTGTTTACATATTATTTTCTTTAATGTTCTAAATTACACTTTTAGTAAAATATAATTATATTTTACTTATATTTTATAAAAATTATATTTTTATAAAATATAAGTAAAATATAAAATGTATTGTGGTTATGTATGAAAAGTTAGGTGTCATGTGATTAAAACATTTATAAAACGAAAACAACGCGTCACAAAATGATGTGATGGGAAAACTGCATACCATCGGAAATAATAACAATTAATATAAAACTGCCTTACATGCGTATATTTACCCAGAAAACTAGCATGCTAAAATACTTTTATTTGTTTATTTATTTATTTTCATTTTTCATATAGATAGTTGAACATATAAAAATAAATGTTGAACAGTGGCGGACTGGCCCAGTGTGCTGGGGTGCATTCTGGGCCCCTATTTTATAAAAAAGAGAGCCCTCCCCACCCAGCAGACTGTTAAATTTATAAATCTATATCGTATCTGGTAATCAGATACTATATGCCAGGTGAATAAAAAATTGTAATTGGTTTTACTCAGTAATTGGTCAGCTTTACGTGAATAAGTAAAAGCAATTGCTCGTTTTTATTCACCCGGCCTAATGGCTTATAAAATTTACGTTTATTCTCAGTAATTTCACGTAATAAAATGAACAAAATAGTAATAACTCATAGTATTTTATTTTCAAGTTAACAATATCTTAAATATAATCGCCACCATGGGAGATTGTTACCTAAAAAAACAGTTGTACAACTAGTTTTAGTAACATCTTTAATTTCAGCACAATGATTAATAATGAAATACATTTTGTATAATTATTTATGTTAACTGTTTTTGACTTTGAAACTTTATTTTGAAATAGCGCTTTTCATATATTTTAATTGTTTGTTTTTTTCTTAGAATGTACTGTTACACAATTGTAATAGTGAAATGTCACGCCTTGTATATATAAAAAGTTCCAAATAGTAAAACATAAGATTCAGGCCCGTAGCAACCGGGGAGTCAGCAGGGACATTTGAAAATAACTCTTCAAATAAAAAATTTTGGAGTTAGCTTTTAGAAAAAAGCAAACGATTACAAATTAAGATATAAAAGAAAAAAAAGGTTCAGGGCTATTTTTTTTAGAAGTAAAATGATTTAAAAAAAAAAAGTCCTAAGCACTGCCCCCCCCCCCCCCCAATATAATTTTTGTTCCTACGGGCCTGTGGTTTGTTTACAGTGTTTATGTTTTTTAATAAATTATTTACAATAAAGTATTTATAATATATAAATTATATAAATTCGAGCAGCCGTGGCGCAGTGGTAGCGCACTTGCTTTAAAAACGTAAGATCCCTGGTTCAAACCACACCTCACGCGACATCGGTTAGGAAGGAGGCGTGAACTTCCAATTAAATGCTCATCCGCGGTGCTCTGGGATGAGACCGTATAGACTTCTTGAAGCACCTAAATAAAATTATATATATATATATATATATATATATATATATATATAATATATATATATATATATATATATATATATATATATATATATACATATATATATATATATATATATATATATATATATATATATATATATATATAAATCTGGTTCACTGAAAAGAAAACAGAGAAAACATAAGCTGCTGAAAACAGCCATGAATCAACACCTGCTCGCGTCATTACCTCTGATAAGTACTAAAACAGACATGCTTCCTTAGCATAAAACTGTAATAGATGCCTTGACAGTTTTATATCAAGTATTTCGGAAAATGTTAACATAAGTATTGATTACGCTAATGTGTTTGACAGTTGATACTGTTTATGTTTAATACATTACATATATGTATTAGTAATTTACACTGTTTGATTTTTGTTTTTTACTCAATATATCATTCTTTAGATCATAGTTATATACGTTTATAACAGATTGTATTTTTAAAATTTAACTAGAACTTTATATAAATTTGTTAATTCCAGATGATAAAAAAGTGAGGGTAAAAAGATAGAGAATAATAAAGATAGAATAATATAAACATAGAATAATATAAAAGAGATTTAAAAAATTAAAACTACATAAGGCGGTTGCTGATGGACCCTTTGGGCCCACTAGAATATTAGGCTCCTTAACTCCCAATCCACCCCTGGTTGAAAATATAAGATGAAAAGCCTGAATTCTGATTTGTATAGGTATGTTAACTATTATTATATTTTTTTAGAAGTGTAAAATTGTTGTATTAAAAATAAAAATATTTTATATAGCGCAAATCATTGTGAGATTGATAAGTGAAAAAAACTTTACGCTGTAGAACACACTTTATTTTACGCTTATTTATTAATTAACTTTAATTATGCATCTATTCCTTATATAAATATGCGTCATTCATATAAATAATAACTTAAAAAAACAAGTTTATTTAAAGACTTATTAACAATTAACTCAGTAAATACAGAAAGATTTACTGGCAAATAAAAAAACAATGAAAAACACCATCACTAACTCAATAAAACAAAATATGAATTAGAAAACTAAAATCATTTTTACAACTGTTGATATATCTTTATATTTTTGAATACATATATATATATATATATATATATATATATATATATATATATATATATATATATATATATATATATATATATATATATATATATATATATATATATATATATATATATATATATATATATATATATATATATATATATATATATATATATATATATATATATATATAGTGCTCAATACTATTAAATAATAGAGCAATATTTATTTATTTATATAAAATGAATAAAAACAACTTTTGATGGAACTCTGAGTTTCATGCCTTTCGGCAATCATTAGCCATTATGTATTTCGTCACTTAAAAACCGTTTAAAAATGACAAATTAATATTACAGTGGAACGAGTTTTGACGTTACAAAATCAAAACAAAACAAAACAAAACGAAAAGACTTCAAAGGTTTTAGTCCGCGGTATCGAATAAGGATAGTAAAAACCACATTAAGTTAAAAAATTTTAATCCTTGAAAAAAGTTACATTAACAAAAATTAAATTTTATTATTAAAAAGCATTTTACACATATTTTTAAAAGTAACAACCTACTTCTCTATCCAATGTAATATTAAAATTGTCAATTATCTTGATGTAACATTGAACCTGATTGACAATTCTTATCAACCATATTGTTTATTTGCGGTTGGTAGGTGAGTTTTAAATTGTTTTAAAACCAACTTATATATGTTCATTCTGATTCAAACCACCTGCCTAATATAATAAAAGAAATCCCTCGCACTGTTGAGTTAAGATTATTGACTATGGCAGTAAATGAAACTGTGTTCAATAATTAAATTCAGACCTACTAGAAATAAAATGCGGAGTTCCCCAAGGTTCCATTCCGGGTCCCCTTTTATTTTTAATATATATCAACGATCTTCCAAAAGCCCTAAAAAAACTTGATGTAATAATGTTCGCTGATGATACAAATTTATTTTACTCATCGCCGTTTATAAACGACCTTTACGAATCTATGAACAC